GTGAGGGCTCTTACCCTCATGACCTAACCACCTCCCAAGGGCCCCACCTTCTAATACCATCACTTTAGGGGTTAAAGTTCAATGTATGAATTGGGGTGGGGAACACAAACATTCAGACCGTCATGATTGATTAGCCTCTAACCAATCTAAGGGATAAAGAGAGAAGTCATAAACTATTAATGTCAGAAATGAAATTTGAGACATCACTATAAATCCCATGGGGGGGATCCCTGGGTGGCGCAGCGGTTTGGCGCCTGCCTTTGGCCCAGGGCGCGATCCTGGAGACCCGGGATCGAATCCCACATCGGGCTCCCGGTGCATGGAGCCTGCTTCTTCCTCTGCCTGTGTCTCTGCCTGTCTCTCTCTCTCTCTCTGTGACTATCATAGATAAATAAAATTAAAAAAAAAAAATCCCATGGGGATTAAAGAATTTGAGTCAGTAATTAATAACCTTCCCAAACAGAAAGTACCAGGCTCATATGGGTTCACTAGTAAATTATTCCAAACATTTCAGGATATTATGACAGTTCTCTATGATCCCTTTCAAAAGAGAGAAACGGGTACCTAGTTGGCTCAGTCAGTTAAGTGTCTGCCTTCAGCTCAGGCCATGATCCTGGAGTCCCAGGATTGAGCCCTGCATTGGGCTCCCTGCTCAGCAGAGAGTGTGCTTCTCCCTTGACCCCTCACCCCGCTTGTGCTCTCTCTTTCACTCTCAAATAAATAAATAAAATCTTTAAAATAGAGAGAGGAACAGAGGAAATCCTTCCTAATTTATTCAATGAAGCTAACATTATCCTAATTCCAAAACCAGATAAAGGCATTACAAGAAAACTACAGACCAATATCTCTCTTTTACATAGATGAAAAATCCTCAACAAAATATTAGCAAATCAAATCCAACAATGTATAAAAAAACTATACACCACGACGAAGTGGATTTACTCTGGGTGTGCAAATCGGGTTCAACATTTGAAAATAAATAATTCATCATGTCAACAAGCTAAAGAAGAAAACCATGTGATCATATCAATAGATGCAGAAAAAACATTCGACAAAATCCAGTATTTTAGGAATAGAGGGAAGCTTCCTCAACTTGATAAAGATAAAGCCTATCTATAAAAAACCCTATAGCTAAAAACAAAAACTTATAGCTAACATCATATTTAATGGTAAAAATCTCAAAGATTTCCTACTAAGATTAGGAACAAGGCATGGAAGTCCCCTACCACTGCTTTTCAGCATTGTACCAGAAGTCCTACCTAATGCAATAAGGCAAGAACAGGAAATAAAACATGCAGATTGAGAAGGAAGACACAAAACTGTCTTTGTTCACAGAAAACATGATTGACCATCTTTGCACAAAATCCAAAAGAACTGGCCAAAAAATTCCTGGAACTCATAAGCAGTTATAGCAAGGTTGCAGGGTACAAAGTTAATATACAAAAGTCCATTGCTTTTAATATACCAGAAAGGAACAAGAAGAATTTGAAATTAAAACCATAATACCATTTCTAATAGCACACAAGAAAGTGGAATATATAAGTTAAAAAATACAAAACAAAACAAAAAAATACAAAACATATATAAAACTATGAGGAAAACTACAAACCTGATGAAAGATATCAAAGAACTAAATAAATGGAGAAACCATGTTCATAAATAGGAAGATTTAGTATTGTCAAGATATTAGTTCTTCCCAACTTTATCTATAGATTCAATGCAACGTGAATAAAAATCCCAGCTAGTTATTTTATTCTCAACACAATATTGGGGAAAGAGTGAAGAAGAATAAAGTTGGAGGATCAGCACCATTCACTATAGACTTACTATAAAGCTATAGTAAATCAAGACGGTATGGTGTTGGCCAGAGGACAGACAAATCAATCAACGGAATAGACCAGAAATAGACCCCCATAAATTCAGCCAACTGGTCTTTGACAAAGGAGCAAAGCAACAAAATGGAGTAAAAATTGTCTTTTCAGCAAATGGTTCTGGAATAACTGGATATCCACATTAAAAAAAAAAAAAAAAAGAAAGAGAGTCTAGATCAGATGTGAACCTTACATCTTTCAAAAATCAATTCAAAGTGGATCACAAAAAAAAAACACAAAAACACACACACACAAAAAAAAAAACAACAAAGTGGATCACAGATTTATTTACTTTTATTTTTTTTAATTTTTATTTATTTATGATAGTCAGAGAGAGAGAGGCAGAGACATAGGCAGAGGGAGAAGCCGGCTCCATGCACCGGGAGCCCGACGTGGGACTCGATCCGGGGTCTCCAGGATCGCGCCCCAGGCCAAAGGCAGGCGCCAAACCGCTGCGCCACCCAGGGATCCCTTTTTTTAAAATTTTTATTTATGATAGTCACAGAGAGAGAGAGAGAGAGATTTTTTTTTTTAATCTACGATAGTCACACACACACACACACACAAAGAGAGAGAGAGGCAGAGACACAGGCAGAGGGAGAAGCAGGCTCCATGCACCGGAAGCCCGACGTGGGACTCGATCCTGGGTCTCCAGGATCGCGCCCTGGGCCAAAGGCAGGCGCCAAACCGCTGCCCCACCCAGGGATCCCTGGATCACAGATTTAAATGTTAAATACAAAACTGTAAAATTCCCAAAAGATAACATAGAAAATCTAGATGACCTTGGATATGGAGATGACTTTTTAGGTAGAAGTCCAAATATAATCCTTAAAGAAATAATTGATAAGCTGGGCTGCAATGTCATTATTTTAAAAGATTTTATTTATTTAAGAGAGAGAGAGAACACAAGCAGGGGGAGGGCAGTGGAAGAGGGAGAAGCAGGCCCTCCACTAACCAGGGAGCCTGATGCAGGGCTCCATCATGACCTAAGCCAAAGGCAGACACCCAACTGACTGAGCCAGCCAGGTCCCCTAGACTTCAATGTAATTTAAATGTTCTGCTTTGTGAAATAGACTGTCAAGAGAATGAAAGTCAAGCCACAGAAAAAATATTTGCAAAAGATGTATTTGATAAAAGACTATTAGCCAGAATATATATAAAGAACTCTTAAAATTCAACAATAAGAAAACAAGCAACCCAATTAAGTAGGCCAAGACTGTAACAGATACTTTACCAAAGAAGATATACAAATGGCAAATAAGTGTTTGAAGACATGTTCCACATCATATGTCATTAGGGAATTACAAATAAAAATAATGAGACAACCACTACACACCCATTACTTTGCCAAAATCCAAGGCACTGACAACATCCAGATGGTGTTACGGATGTGGAACAACAGGAATTCTTGTTCATTGCTGGTGAGAATGCAAAATTATACAGCTACTGTGGAAGGTAGTTTGACAGTTTCTTGCAAAAGAAACCCACTCTTACTATGTGATGTGATCCAGCAATCATGCTCCTTGGTATTTACTGAAGTGAAATCTTGAGGTAAAGACTTATGTCCACACAAAAACCTGCACGTGGATGTTTGTAGCAGCTTTATTCATAATTGCCAACAGTGGGAGCAACCAAGATGTCCTTCAGTAAGTGAATTGACAAATTTGGTCCATCTAGACAATGGAATATTATTTGGTGCTAGAAAGATATGAAGTATCAAGCCATGAAAAGAGATGAGGAAAGTCAAATGCATATTAGTAAGTAAAGGAGCCACTCTGAAAAGCCTACATACATTTAATTCTAAGTATAGGATATTCTGGAAAAGACAAAACCATGGAGATAGTAAAAAAAAGATCAGTGGTTGCCAGGCATTGAGAGGGATATATAGGGCAGTGAAACTACTCCATAGTACAGAGTAATGTATCTACATAATAGTGGGTATATGCCATCCATTTGTCTAAACCCATAAAACGTACAACACCAAGAGTGAACCCTAACGTAGACTATGGTCTTTGGGTGATGATGTGTCTGTGTAGGTTTATCACTTGTAACAAATGTGTCACTCCAGTGGGAGATGTTGATAATAGGGAGGGCTGTTCGTGTGGGGGCACAGGGGTACATGGGAAATCTGTATACTTTTTGCCCAGTTTTGCTGTAGATCTAAAATTCTCAAAAAAAAAAAATAATAAAGTCTATTTTTAAAAAGAGTTCTAGGCTCCCATAATTGAAAAGTCTAGAGCTAGGGCAGGATTCAGTCATGGCTGGATTCAGGGGCTCAGTGATAGCATTTTTTTTTTTAAGATTTTATTTATTTATTTATTCATGAGAGACACACAGAGAGAGAGAGGCAAAGACAGGTAGAGGGGGAGCAGGCTCCCTGGGGAGCCTGATGCAAGACTTGATCCCAGGACCCGAGGATTACTCTCAACCACTGAGCCACCCAGGTGCCCCAGTGATAGCATTTTGATGCAGTCTTATCTCTCAGCTTTGCTTTCTTTCCTCACTCCAGTAGGGGAGGTCGAGGGACTCCAAGCTCGATGATCCCTAGTATAGAAACAGGCTCTCTGCCACTAGGAAATTGCCTGGATAGGGCTCCTACTGTCTGGCTTGAGCCTGTGCCTACCCCTGGAGTCAGAGAAGGGAGATCCCCCTCCTTCCCAAGAGGAAGATTGAAGTCTTGTTGCCAGAGGAAGGGAGAATAAGTTTTGGGCCTGCAAAAGCTGTAGAGCAGATGATCAAGGTCCCACCCGGTCTAACATTTGATGCTTCCAATGCCAGCTGCCCGCCTTGTGGGGGCTTTCTGCAGAAGGAGGCAGAGGCAGTTTTTACACTTCAGAGGTCATATGGAATGGCCGTGAGTAGCTGAGAGGGTGCTGGGCATAGCAGGAACAGGGTGGCTGTGTTTGGGAGCTACCGAGAAGACCAGTTTGGCTGGACAATGGGCATGTGAAGATTGGTCTATGAAAGTATATTGAGGCCAGACTGGAGCCTCCCAGGATCTGAGTCCTGCCCCCAGATTTCCCAGCCTCACCTATACTGGTTCCTCCAGGTGTTAACATCTTAGGAGGGAATCTCCCTGGAGTTGGGGGAAGCTGTGCTTCTGTGTCTCTGATGTCCACCTCCCCCTAGGCATTCCTGGTATATGCTGCGGGTATCTACTCCAACATGGGCAACTACAAGTCCTTTGGCGACACCAAATTTGTTCCTAACCTGCCCAAGGTGAGTTGGGAGAGTGCCGGGGAAAGTAAGGAATTTGGGGCTGGCAGGATGGTAGTGGGGGCCTAAACGGAGGGAACCTTGACCCTGCCACTGCCATGCTCCTCGCATATAATGGAAAAACAGTGTTTCTTCTTGACTGTGCTGACCTGAGGGCATCCAAGGGAGGGATGTGGAAGTGCTCTGGGAACATGAAGTGCTTGCAGAAATGGAACCTGGTCATCACGGGGGATGGTGGAGAGGCCCAGGTATGGAGAGTCCCTCACTGGGACTGTGGCACTCGAGCCTATCTGGGGCAGAGGCAGTTCTTACACCTGGGCTTCCCGCACTAACTGTATACACAAGTTGCCTGGCCATCTTGTTGAAATGCAGTTTCTGACTTAACGGTTCTGTAGTGGGGCCTGAGGTTCACCATTTCTTGAGCAACACCGATGCTGCTAGTCCATCTGTCACACTTTGAGCCAGGTCTCAGACTGTGGGAGAAGAGCTGGGGGCTGGATGTGGAGGATCCAGAAGACAGGTTTGGGTGCTATGGCCTTTTTCCCTGCAGGAGAAGCTGGAACGAGTGATCCTGGGGAGTAAGGCAGCTCAGCAGCACCCGGAAGGAATCAGGAGCCTCTGGCAGACCTGCAGGGAGCTCATGTTCTCTCTGGAGCCCAGGCTTCGACACCTCGGGCTGGGGAAGGAGGTGAGGCCCCCAACCATACGGAGTGTGCAGGGCATCCTTTGAAGTCACCTGGCATGGAGGGGAGGGTACCGGGTACTGGGCAGGGACGCAGTGGGCTTTGGCTCACACTCTTGAGGCAAAGCTGCCCCCCAACACGGGCTTCAGTTTTGTCATTTGTAAACTATGAAGCAAGTTGGATGGAATACTTCCTGAATGCCTTTCTGGTTCTGACATCCTAGGGAGGTGTATGCAGAAGGGAAGGAGAGAAGAGCTGAGCTGAGAGTTAGAGGGAACTGAGGAGGGGAAGATGGGCCAGGAGGGATCCCAGGCTTCCCGCCTCTGGAAGCTATCTAGCAACTGCCTGTTGTGAGGGCCATGGCAAGCCTTCAGGGTGGGCCAGCCCAGGAAAGGCTGGAGCAGAGCTGCAGGGAGGCTAGAGATGGGCCTCTGTTTGTGATTTGTGTTACAGTTTTTTCCCCTGGAAACAGATCGAGGAGGCAGGGTGGGGGATGCTGGGAGGGGGTACAGGAAGCAGGGGGCTGGGGGTAGTGTGTCTTGACCCTAGCAGTTCCTCCTTTCCATCTGTCCCCTTCCCTGACAGGGAATCACTACCTACTTCTCTGGGGATTGTACCATGGAAGATGCCAAACTGGCTCAAGACTTTCTGGACTCACAGGTTTGAGGGTTGGAATATTGGTTTGATGGGGCCCCCTTGCCATTGGCACCCACTCCTGGGTCTCAGCTTGGGTCCAGAGACACAGCATTTTGGGTGTTTGAAGTAGAAAAGACTAGTCTTAGAATCATTGTCTAAGAGCTGGCATGGCTCCAGTGAAGACGTGCCCATGTGTGCCAGTGATAGAGCTGCTCCCAGGCTGAAGGCCTCATGACAGCCTCAGGGCAGGATGGTGCAGAAGATTAGAGCTGCTTCCGGTTGGGCCCTGGGTCTGGGCCCTAGACTCCTAGGGTCTGCTTCCCAGCAGCTGTGTAACCAGTTTCCACGTCTGCTGCCTCACGTGGCCCTGGGTTAGCCGAGAGCGTGTAGTGCTTGACACAGGGGAGTCAGCACTTAGTAAAAGTTAGGGCTCAGCATATGGAGTAGAGTGGGAAAGCCTGGCCTGGCCTGCCCACCTGCCCTCTCCCCATCACAGTGGACTTAGCCAGGTTCCCCCAGAGGCTCCAGCCTGCTTTGCCTCTGTACCTTCCTTCCCTGGTGTGGACCCCTTTTCCTCCCACCTTGCAGCCCGTTCTGGACTTACTCTCCTTCCCCAGACCTCTGCCCTGGTCTCTTCTAGAACCTCAGTGCATACAACACACGACTCTTCAAGGGTGTCAGCGTGGATGGGAAGCCCTGCTACGAGGTGCGGCTGGCTTCTGTGCTTGGCATGGGTGAGCTGCCTCACACACCCCTTCTAGTCCTGGGCCCAGGAGGGTTGGTGGGTTCTGCAGGGAGTAACAGTCATAATAGTTACAGGACATATTGACTGCAGACTTACTGGTCACTGTGTTCATGATGTGCTCTGTGCATGGTGGTACCTATGAGGGGACCCTAGCCCTGGGGCTGGCCATGACAGCAAAGATACAGGGGAAGTACAAGGACAGAGAGAGAGGTTCCATGCCACTTGGAGGGTGTTACTGCTGCGAGCCTCTGATGGTCCCTATCCTTCAGGTAGTGGCACAAAACACAATAATCCATGTGAATAATGGGAATAGAGGCTGGGCCATATGCCCCATAACAGGCTAGAAGTCCAAACTGCGCATCAGTGAGGGCTTCCTGGAAGAGGTAACCATATGGATTTTTGGAGGTTCAGGACCTAGAAAGGTAGAGATGGCGAATGTCCTAAAGTCTGCTTCCTGAATATCTCTCAAAGAGCCCTCCAAGGGCTCTATCATTCAGAACTCTTCATAAGTGAAGAGTCTATTGCATATTTGCCTAAACCAGAAGGGGACTTAACAGACTTCGGTAATTAAGAAGCCTAGAGTAGGATGGCTTCAAGCACAGCTGGACCCAGCTGCTCGGACAGTATTCTGAGGAATTTCTCTCTCTCTGTCTCTTGGCTCCATTCTCTGACTTTATCCATGGCATGTTCCTCCCACACAGGGCCTGATAGTCAGTTACCAGCCTGGCCACCCAAGCAGTAAAAGGGTCCTTTCCTCCCAGAAGTTCCTTCAATAAGGTGTGGGAGTGGCTCTAGTTTCTCTATTTTGGATCCCATATTTATCTGTGAACTAATCCCTGTGGTCAAGGCACAGATAGATCTCTGATTGTCTGGACCCTGATCCCAAAACTGTCTCAGAGCCAGGTGATGAGGCCAGCCCCTCCCACTCACCTGAACTGGAGGAGCTGGCAGCAGGGGATTCTCAGAGGAAAATCAGGGTCTGTTACCAGGTGAGAGGGAAATGTATGCAGTGTAGAAAGAAATATCCAGGCCCTATGAGGACCTTTTGCAACCTGGCCCTCCTTTTCTACCTCCCACCCCCTAGCCTCATAACCTTGCTCACCTCCCACTTAGACTCTGCCCCAGCCATGCTCAGCAGCTTATAATCCCTCAGAAACCCCGTGTTCTCACATACGCTGTCTAGGACTTTGATGGTCTGTCTGTTCCCCTTTCACCTTGAAGTCCTCTTACTGCCTACACATTCATGTGATGGACACCTACTCATCCTCTAGACCATCCTAGGGCATCACTTATTCTATGACATTGCCCTGTCTTTCCATGACTTTCCTTCTCTTTTCCCATCAGCATACCCAGTAATGTCCCAGATTTGTTGTTTTGGACTACAGGCTCCTCAAGAGGAGGAAGGGTGTGTTTCATTGACCACTGTCTCCCCAGTGGCTAGCACTTGGTAGAAACTCAGATATTTGGTGTGGGAATAGATAAAGATGGCATCAGCACTTCTGGTGGAGGGAATGGTGTGAGCCCAGAGCACGGTGGAGGGAAAGTTTAGGGATTGGCAAGTCATTTGATTTGACTAAGGAAGGGGATATTGGGTTCATGGGAATAGGAATAGATCACACTGGAAAATAAGCCAAGCCTATACTTACATATACTCTACTATGTATAGGATACACACTCTCAAGTGTGGCTCTGGAGCCAAGCTGCCTGAGCGTACCTGTTGTGTCTTCTACTGCTGTGTACAATGCCCCCCAAATTTAGGGATATAAACCCACCTCTTCATGCTCACAGACTCTGTGGGTCAAGAATTTGGATGGGGCACGATAGGAACAGCTTGTGCCTGGTGACAATATCTGAGATCTCCAAAGAGTTGGAGGCTGGGTTGTTACCAGCCCCCGGGGACTGGAAACACCTTCAGGCTTGCTCACTCACTGGTGGAAGATGGTAGCTGTCAGCTGGGACATCAGCAGGGGCTAGGGGCCAAAACACCTCATGTGGCTTCTTCACATTGCTCGTGTTGTCTGGCCTCCACGAGTGGGCATTCCAAGAGAGCCAGGCAGAAGCTGTGTCACCATTTATGATCTGGCATCAGCAGTCATGTGGCATCACTTCTGCTAGAGTCACAGCCTGCCCACCTTCAAGAGGAGGGAAAAGAGCCTTCACATCCTGATGGGGGATGTCACATTGGGAGGTGGGGAGAGACTCTGGTTATATTTTTTCTTTTAAAACATAACCTAGAAGTATGTCCTACTGTTCAGTGACAACAGGCAAAATGCAAGAAATCACCACAAATTGAGTGGCATAAGACAACATAAATTTCTTCTGTTGCTGTTCTGGAGGTCCAAAGTCTGAAACAAGACTCCAGTTCCTTCTGGAAACTCCAGAAGGGGAATCTATTTCCTTGCCTCATTCGGCTTTAGTGTCTAGAGGCAGCCTGCTTTCCTTAGCTCATGTCCCCTTCTTCACTTCTCTTCAACATATTCTCTCATTTCATCTTCTACTTCCCATTCACCCTCTTATCACCTGATAAGGCTCCTTATATTTCAGGGATGACTGTCTTTCTAAATACAGTTTGCCACCCTAGGTTTGAATCCTGCTCTGCCACTTACTGCCCATGTGACCTTTGGAAACTTACTTCTCTGTGACTTTGTTTCCCCATCTGTAAAATGGAGATAACTCCCCCTAGAGTTGATGTGAGGCTTAAATGAATTAGCTGACGTAAAGCCCTTAGAATATTTCCTATTATGTTATATGCGTATTTTTCGAAAATGAAAATTTCTACTAACTTCGGTAGGCCATGGAGAGTCATTGAAGATCTTAGAGTAAGAGTGTCACGGTGAGAAGTTTGCTGGGGTGTCTTACACTAGCCTTTTCCCTGAGCAAACCTTCTTCCCTCAGAGCCCACTCTGCATTCTGAAATGACTTCCAAGCTGAAGAACTATGAATTCCAGGGGTGCCATTTCCAGGTGACTCGGGGAGACTATGCGCCTATTCTCCAGAAGGTGGTGGAGCACCTGGAGAAAGCCAAGGTAGGGGTGGCTGGGGGCTGAGGTGTGCAAGCTCCAGATCCCTCTGGGCTGCAAAGACAGGTGTTGGGATGCATGGGTGGCCTCAGGCTGACCCACCCCTGCTCTCTCCCAGGCATATGCAGCCAACAGCCGGCAGGAACAGATGCTGGCTCAGTACATAGAAAGTTTCACCCAGGGCTCCATTGAGGCCCACAAGAGGGGCTCCCGCTTCTGGATACAGGACAAAGGCCCCATCGTGGAGAGGTGAGGCACCAGCCTTCACCCCAACTGTCCCCTCCTCCTGCCTGCCCCTCTTCCATCTCTGTTCTTTGCTCCCCCAGTTACATCGGGTTCATTGAGAGCTACCGAGACCCCTTTGGTTCCCGTGGAGAGTTTGAAGGTAACTCCTGGAAGGAGGGTGGTCAGCTTACAGACCCTTATCCCAATGTCCCCTGTGGGCTCTCCCCTCGCTTGGCAATAATAATATAGGTAACCAGAACCACTGTTGTTGGTTTACTGGATACTGGGCACTTAGCTATAGTAGTTCGTTTGGACACTGTCCTCCCATGACAGTTGCTATCCACACTTTACAGAACTGGTGACTTAGGGATGGCTGGTGGGTGGCCAAGCCAGGCACCTTGGCTCTGAGCCACTTTGCTGTGCTGCCTCTGCTGTCTGATGTGGACACAGGCAACAGTCGTCCCAAGCCCAGCTTTGGCTGTGTGACCTCCCAGCTGTGTAAACCCCACATCTGAGCATCAGTCACTCCCTTCTGGGTGTCTTGGGAAGTGAGGCATTTATAGCTCTATATAAAAACAATTATGGGATAACACATATAATTATGCAGGCTGCTTAGCACAAGCCAGGTACATAAAAGGTCCTGGGTGAATGGGAGAATAATTAACATCATGACTGTGAACTTGACTTGCCTGCTGTCATCCCAAGGGCAGGTGGGAGGCCTGCCCATACCCCCACAGGATTCACCTGTGCAAGGCAGGGAATCCAGCCTGAGGATTTAGACTTCTGTGCCAAGCCTTATCCTCCTCAGCCCCTGGAGATAGAGTCTGGAGTATCCAACTACTAGAAGCCAGAGAGATTAGCTTGGGAAGAGAGAGGAAAGCCCTGGCAACTGGTGGGGGGCTTAGATCTGAGACTATAAATGCAGGCCCAGGGTGCAGGTGATACAGGGCCCAGAGGGGAGGAACAGGTTTGCACACCTGCAGCTTCCCTGCCTGGATCCTGATTCTCCAGGCCTCTCTTGAGGGCCAAGACCCCAGAACCTCCTAAGCAACCTTGATCTCAGAGGCTCCCCTCTTTACCTAACTCATTGTGGTTATTAGAAAAGTAGTCCAGGGGTACCAGGCCGTCTCATTCAGTAGAGCATATGACTCTTTTTTTTTTTTTAAGATTTATTTATTATTTATTTATTTGTTTATTTATTTATTTATTCATTCATTCATTCATTCATTCATTCATTCATGAGAGAGACAGAGAGAGAGGCAGAGACATAGGCAGAGGGAGAAGTAGGCTTTACACAGGAGCCCGATGTGGGACTCAATCCTGGATCCCCGGGATCACAACCTGAGCTGAAGGCAGCCCCCTAACTGCTGAACTACCCAGGTGTCCGAAGCATGTGACTCTTAATCCCAGGTTTGTGAATTCAAGCCCCACACTAGATGTAGAGATTACTTAAAAATAAAAAAAATAAAAAAAATTTTTAAAGGAAAAGTAGTCTATGTTCACGGTCACAGATTTTGAAAATAGATTTGAAAAAAAATCATCCATGATTGGACCCACCTCAAGGTTAAAATTGGGAATGTACATTGTGATTTTTATTTATTTGTTTATTTAAAGATTTATCTATTTATTTATTTTAGAGAGAGGATATGTGTGGGAGCAGGAGGAAGGACAGAGGAATAGAGAGAATCCACAAGCATACTGCCTACCTGAGTGTGAGCCTGACATGGGGCCCCATCCCAGGACCCTGAGATCATGACCTGAGCTAAAACCAAGAGTTGGCTGCTCAACCAACTGAGCCACCTAAGGCACCCGTTTTTTGTTTTTATATAAAGCTATAAATGCTTAAAAATGTGTGTGGGCATGATTTAAAAATCCATGTCTGTTGTAAGTAATTGGAATAGTGCAGAAGTATGTAGGATAAAATGTGAAATTTGTCCCCTGTGACAATTCCCTCCTGAGATCACCACAGTTTGCAGTTGAATACAGGTCTCCCCAGAGCTTTGTTTAAGCACACACACATGAAACTTTTAATTTGTCCAGGTAAAATAATCTGGACATAATCTCATTTTATGCTTTTTTCACTGAATATTTTAGATATCTTTTCATATTAGTAGGTATAGACCTACCATGTTCTTTTATTTTTACTTTTATTTTAAGTAGGCTCCATGCCCAATGTGGAACTTGAACTCATGACCCTGAGATCAAGGGTGTACCAACTGAGCCAGCCGTTTTTTTAAATAGCTGCGTAATATTATAATTTCTCATGACATTTGATATTTTACAACCCGACTAATACTTGCATGGTGTGCCATCATATAGCTGCCCCCTGATTTATTTAACCAGCCCCTGTGGTTGCTTTTTCTTCTCTGCTATTTTAATCGTCGTGTCTTCCTGACCTTGTATGTCAATTCCACCTGACCTGATATATCAATTCCACCTGACACAGGGAGGCTTTGCCAAGTCTAACCCTTGGCCAAGTTACTCCATTCTTTGTAAGAGCCTGACCAGGCAGTAGTTTAGGCCAGGCCTTTCCAAGGTATAGTTCATGCGGGGTTCACAGGAATTATACCATGAAGGGTTCAGTGCTAAGTAGCAGGAGGTCTTGCCTACAGGACTCTTCAGTGCTTCTAATATGCAATGTATATCAGAAATCTCTAAGAAGTTGGAAGTAGAGCATATAGTATTCAAACTTATTTAACCAGGAAGCTTTTTCTTTATGAAGGCTCTCATAGAAACTGCATCTTATGGAGTGCAACTTTGGAAACAAACAGAAGCTAGGTTTAACTGCATTAAACCTGAAAGGATCAGTCCCAGCCCTCCTATGTAGCAGCCATAGTCCCCACTTCACAAGCCAGATGCTCTAGCCATGCAGGATACTTCAGTTGCTCCCAAAAGAAGAACATATTTTTTGTTCATGTAGTCCCTTCCATGGGGAATCTGATCTTTGCCTACCATCCTCTATGTGCTCCCTCCCACCTCCTTTTAAGGTCCATCTCAGATGTTACCAGTGAAGCCTTCTCTTTGCATCCTGTCCACCCCAGGGACCTCTATGAAGGCAAGGCCAGGCCTGGGTCACTGTCCCACTGGCCAGCAAAGGGTGTTACATGCAGCAGACATTTAGTACCTGCATGATGGCTGGAGGGGTAGCAGAGTTGAGTGGGGGAGGGGACCCCTCAAAATCCTGCCAGCCCACAGCCCACCTCCCTCCCTACAGGCTTTGTGGCCATGGTGAACAAGGCCATGAGTGCCAAGTTTGAGTGTCTTGTGGCAAGTGCGGAACAGCTGCTGAAGGAGCTACCCTGGCCCCCAGCCTTCGAGAAAGACAAGTTCCTCACCCCTGACTTCACCTCCCTGGATGTTCTCACCTTCTCTGGCTCTGGCATCCCTGCTGGAATCAACATCCCCAACTGTGAGCTTCCTCAATCTGTGACAATAGCCCCTAGGCCTCCAGAGCCTCCATTTAGAGTTGCCCCTCCCCCTCCACACAGTGGCCCTGGCCATGTACCCCACTCAGTTCTCCATCCCAGCAGCATCCTCTGGTCTAGATTCCTTTGTCTGTGGCCCTTGATGTTTGCCCCTTCGCCCTGACTCCCTCCCCACCTTCTCCAGATGATGACCTGAGGCAGACGGATGGCTTTAAGAATGTGTCGCTGGGGAATGTGCTGGCTGTGGCCTATGCCACACAGCGGGAGAAGCTTACCTTCCTGGAAGAGGATGACAAGGTGGGCACTGACAGCCCAAGGGTTTGGGTCGGGCCTGGCCTGATAGCCGGCACAGGAAGGTGGAAGGCCCAGTGCAGGGAGAGGAAAGAGCAGGGCTGCCATCCCAGCTCAGCTACTTCCTGGCCTCATGGCCCTGTTACATGGCCTGTTTGCTCACCTGTCAAGCAGCAGAGGCAATCCCTTGCTCCAGGTTGTTGCAAGGATGAGATAGGCCAAGAGGTGCCCCTCATGGAGCCTAGCATGAAGGAGGCATTAGCTGGCCGCGGGGCTGTGGTGGGGCAGTGGGTAGCATGGATCTCTGCTTGTCTTGGTAGGACCTGTATATCCGCTGGAAGGGGCCCTCCTTTGATGTGCAGGTGGGACTGCATGAGCTGCTGGGCCATGGCAGCGGCAAGCTGTTTGTACAGGTGAGAAGTGTCTACAACTCCCCTCCCCCATGGTCAACCCCAGCCAGGTTGAAGCCACTTCTGTCTTTGCCTTCAGGGGCTTTGGGTTAAGTGGGGGAAATGGCCCCTGAAGGAAGGAAGTCCCTATATCACCCTCCCCCAAGCTGTCCCAGGAGCCCCAAGGGTGCAGAGCCCAAGGGACAGTCCAGCTGGGGTCTCCTGCACAGGAGGGTTGTTTGACTTAGGCCACAGAAGCCTGCCCTGGAGGTGACTCAGCACCAGGGACAGGGAGGCTGTGAGGGACAGTCTCTGGAGGCTCCCAGTCCGGAGGCTGCTTCATGGTCTGGCTTTGTACTACTATTCCCTGGAACCTGTACCTTTCCAGGTATTAATAGGGAGTGAGTCACATCTCCCCAGAACAGCCCCTACCTGCCAGCCCATCCGAGTGGCTGGAGCCCCTGTGACATCCATGCACAGAATATAAAGCAAACAGACAGCCTTCCTGCCAGGCTTAGAAGAGCCCTTTTTGGCCCCCTAGCACAGAGCTGCACAGATGAGATGACCAGAGGCAGGTGTGGCCAGGACATTAGAGAGAGCGGGGTTTTGGCTTGGGTCCCGCTTGCTGTGGGGTAGGGCACCTCACTGAGTTGGGAGGGTCAGGGGTCAGGAGGCTTCAGAGAGCAGCTAAAGGGGACAGCAGCCTAGCATTGGGCCTTGTCCAGGCTTAAAGCCACAGGGCAGTGGGGACAAATGTGGCCACTCCATGTCCTTGGATAAGTTAGTTCTCCTTCCTGAGCCTCAGTTGGCCCATCTGTAAAACAGGGACCCTGGCTCCTACCATATGGGCTATGATGAGGAATAAAAGCAAAGCCCTAGGGCTTGCCTGGCATAGTAGGCCCTCTGGAAATGGGTGTTACTGTCAAGAGATAGTGTGCATGGAGGTGATGTGCTCTGATTCCACTCTGTGGCTTGTAGTGTCTGAGCCTCATTCCCCTCCCACCCCCGTGAGGTGGGGTAGCAGAACCATGGCGGGGGGGGGAGGTTGTGAGGAATAAACGGATGGCACATAAAAGATGCTTGGCACATGGAGTAGTTAGTGAGGCTGATGCTTATTGGAGGTCGAGAATCACAGGCCATGGCCTCTGCCAGCATGGGGAGCAGCAACCAAGCTGCCAAGCTTTCTGGACCATCCACTGGTACATACCTGGGGTCTGGAGATCCCAGTCTGGGTTTTCATGGGGCTGGGGGCCAGGGTCACAGGACTCAGGTTTGGAGGCAGCAGCATGTGGATGGTGCTTGAATCCCTGGGCTGCAGTAATGGGCTGGGGCAGGCACCTTTCCCTCACTCGTCTCATGTCTTGACCATTCTGCAGGATGAGAAAGGAGCACTTAACTTTGACCAGGAGACCGTGATCAACCCAGAGACGGGTGAACAGGTGAGGGCAGCCTTGGCAGACACCCGAGGTGCTGGGGGTCTGGGCATGCCTGGGGTGGCAGCTGCCCCTAAGCCTACCTAATTCCTGGTCCTCGCCTCCCAGATTCAGAGCTGGTACCGGAGTGGGGAGACCTGGGATAGCAAGTTCAGTACCATCGCCTCTAGCTACGAAGAATGCCGGGCTGAAAGCGTGGGCCTCTACCTCTGCCTCAACCCGCAAGTGCTGGAGTATGAGCAACAGGCCGGGGCGGGGGGTGGGCCTCCCTTGTGGATGGAGGGCGTACTGGTGGGGGTCAGGACCCAGGCAGCCTCTGACTGCCCCTGCTGCCTCCCTGCCCCTTCCGCAGGATCTTTGGCTTTGAGGGGGCTGATGCAGAAGATGTGATCTACGTGAACTGGCTCAACATGGTTCGGGCTGGGCTGCTCGCCCTGGAATTCTACACCCCTGAGGCCTCCAGCTGGAGACAGGTAGGGACCAGCAGAGAGCCATCAGGGGGAGGACCGGCAGTGGAGTCCAAGGTCAGGATTCTAGGTGTAGAGATGGGACAACCATATCTACCTATAAGACCCGTGAACTGGATTTAATCCCAGACTCTAGTGCTTATGGGGGTAGGTCACACTGCTGTGAACTCAATGTCCCTGTCTGTGCAATGGGAGTAATAGTCTCCCTGCCCACCTCTGAGGGCAGATCAGCTGAGGTGATTTTACTACAACTGCTAATAACTGACCTGTGTCAGTGCTACACACAGTTCTAAGCACTTTACCTGAATTAACTCCTTGCTCCCAGTGTCAACCCCAGGAAACTATTATTACCTTCATTTTATAGATGAAGAAATTGAGGCACAGAGAAATTAAGTAACTTGCTGGTAAGCAGCACAGCCAGGATTCAAATCCAAGCAGTTTGCCTTCAGGCTAGGCTGCTCAGTTATGAGATGTCCTTTGGAAATAGAGTAAACAATAGGAATGTTTTTAAAGTTCATACAAGTATGTCTTGAGGGAATCTTACATCATCAAAATAACATGTTTTAGAGTCAAGAAACTGAGGTCTGAGTCTTTGCTCTCCCTTAACAGTTGTGTGATCCCAAACAAGTCATTTCACCTCTCTGGGCCTCTGTTTATCATCTGTAAACTGGGGTTCATGATGCCTACTTGGTCCCGCTGTGGAAAACAAACAAGATTGTAGAGGAGAAAGTGCTTGGTGACCTGGACTGTGGGGGGACCAAGGGGTATCTGCTATCATCAGGGAGGGGTTTGGAGCAGTAAAGGGCATGGTGGTTGGCAAGGGGGAAGCACAGGGTTCTCAGTCCTGCCTGGAAATGGCCTTCCTGTTTTCCAGGGCAGCCTGCCTTCCCCTTGTGAGCAGAGAGGGGAGGAAGAATTTAAGGGGAGAGGAATAAGTAGAGAAAGATCCACAGGGTGAGGGAGAATGAAATGATAAGAATAATTGACAAGGAGTGAGCACATATTATATTCAGGCTTTGGACCAAGCTTCTGATGTATCTTATCTCAGGGATGTAAATGATTCTTTTCTTGTTTGGCTCTGGCAGGCCCACATGCAGGCCCGATTTGTGATCCTCAGGGTCCTGCTGGAAGCTGGCGAGGGACTTGTTACTGTCACTCCCACCACAGGCGCTGATGGGCGCCCAGATGCTCGGGTCCGCCTCGACCGCAACAAGATCCGGCCTGTGGGCATGCCCGCCCTGGAGAGGTTCCTGAGGAAACTTCAGGTCAGTGGAGCCCTCTTACCTTCCCACCTCACCCTGTCTCTCCATCCTCTAGCACTGCCTCGTAGCCTTCTGATCATCCGTTCGTTCACTCATTCATTCATTGGACAAGTGTGTACACCGAGTGTGACCATGTGCCAGGCATGGTCTGGCATAAGCTATGAGCGGTTTCTTATGTTGTGGTGAACGTGTAAACAATAAGTGAATGAGATGATTTCAAGTCATGACAAGAGCTATAAAGACCCTAAAACTTGGTGATGCAATAGCAGGTGAAATTGGAGGGAAAAGGAATGTACAGCTTCCTTAGTCTGGGTGGTCAGGGAAGGCTTCTTGGAGGAGATGGAGTTTAAGCTGCAATTTGAGTGCCAGGCAGGAACCAGTATGAGAAGGTCTGTGAGCAGAAGAAACAGAAAGCATAAAGCATAAAGTGTGGGGACTGGAATGAACTTCATGAGTTGAGGGACAGAAGGAGGCCTGGAGCTTAGTAGGTGAAGGACAATGGTCAGTGTGGCTCTGGCTTCCCCCCCATGTAGGAATGCTTAGAGTCAGGACTTTTTGGGGTTTTGATGTCACTATTAACTAGCCATGTCATTGGGGCAACATATTCTGCCTTGCTGGGCCCTACTTTTCTTATCTAATTAATGGGATACATCTCCTGCCTCACCTGGCAGCAATCAAATGACACAACATATTGAGCAAATAGAAAGTTGTGTTATCCAAGCCAGTGTGACATGAGGTGTGGTCCATGGACGAGCAGCATCAGCCTCACTCAGAAGCAGGCTACATACAGATGCAGATTCCTGGGGATCGCCCCGGACCTGATTCAGAAATCATGAGAGTAGCGCCCAGGAATCTGCATGTTTACCTGCCTGCTGTGTGAGTCTGACACTCAGCAAAGTTTGAGAACCATTCAAAGGCCCCCTCTCCCTGTGCAGTACCTTCCATTGGAACTGGGTCCTGCCAGCTTTTTCAACTGATAGAAGGCCCAGTCTTCAACTCGGCAAATATCTCCATGATCATACTCCTACCTGTTTCCAGAAAGGATTTAAGGCATTTTTAAATAAAAGATGTGTTTGGCCTTTAAAGTAAAATAAAATTAGAAATTAAGAATTAGGGTGGCCCAGGTGGCTCAGCGGTTTAGTGCCGCCTTCAGCCCAGGGCCTGATCCTGAAGACCAGGGATCGAGTCCCACGTCAGGCTCCCTGCATGGAGCCTGCTTCTCCCTCTGCCTGTGTCTCTGCCTCTCTCTGTCTCTCTGTGTCTCTCATTAATAAATAAATAAAATCTTTAAAAAAGAAATTAGGAATTAGTAGATGCAGAGGTGCCTATGTGGCTCAGTCGGTTAGGTGTCCGACTCTATTTATTTATTTATTTATTTATTTATTTATTTATTTATTTATGATAGTCACAGAGAGAGAGAGAGAGGCAGAGACACAGGCAGAGGGAGAAGCAGGCTCCATGCACCGGAAGCCCGATGTGGGATTCGATCCCCGGTCTCCAGGATCGCGCCCTGGGCCAAAGGCAGGCGCCAAACCGCTGCACCACCCAGGGATCCCTAGGTGTCCGACTCTTGATTTCTGCTCAGGTCGTGATCTCAGGGTCCTGGGATCAAGCTCTGTGTTGGGCTATGAGCTCAGTGCACAGTCTGCTGAAGATTCATTCTCCTCCCTCCTCTGCTCCTCCTGCTCTCTCACTGTCTCTCTCAAATAAGTAAATGAAATCTTAAAAAAAATCAGTATATGCAAAATGCAACGTAGTGTGTCTTAGATTAGATTCTGGAATAGAAAAAGGTCATTAATGGGACAACTAGGTTGAAATCTAAAGAAGCCTAGAATTTAGTTGATAGTAATACACTAATTTTGTACAGTGTTAACAAGAGGAGACACTGGGCAAGGGGCATATGGAAACTCTCTGTTCTATCTTTGCAATTTTTCCGGATATCTTGAATTATTCTAAAGTTGTTTATTAATAATGTTAAGTCACTAGGTGAAGGAATCAAATCTGCTAAATCCTAGCCCAATATTGAACTGAATATGGAACAAGCAGAGAGTGTTCCGTTCTAGAGACTGAACCAGTTGGATCTCTGTACAAGAGAAATCATTCAGCAGGATAGACAGTAACCTCAGCATTAGCTTTACAGAAGATAGGGAGTATGGAGACATTTTTGACATGGCCATTTGTTTGATCAGACCCCTAGCAAAAGCCAAGAGCACAGCAAGGAGACAGCAAGTGGGGAAGATGAAGACATTTCCACAAGGAAAGGCTTCAGCCAGGGTCACAAACACAGTCCCTTTTGGCCCACCTTGTATTGTGAAAATTGACAGGGTCAGGTATAAATCTGCTTCTTGGAAGGACTGGCATCAATAGGCTTAAGTCCCATGTAAACAACTGGTGGAAACTGAGCAGCAGCCACTGTATTTGGGCATTTGGACATGGCATGGCTCCTCAGTTTGCTAGGTCTCCTCCTTATACCTGTCCTGCCTCCCATTGGCTTCCATGTTACCAACTCCCTGTTTAAGTTCATGGGATCCGATATAGTGGCTTGATAAATGTGTCTCCACTAATTTCTGTGTGCTTAGTACTGCTGGGAAGAGAGAAGGATGAAATGTTCTCTTTAACTGTCCCCCCGAAAAGAAAAAAAAAACTTTCCCCCTGGAGGTCATTCTCCACCACCTCCACCACCACCACCCCCTCCCGCAGAGAATCCTTATAACCCTGAATCTAAGAGGTGGAGGCTTACATGGAGGGGGCCCTAGTAGGAGTCCTACTTTGACACCTGCTAATCAGCAGCAGTAAGGATTGGACATGCAAGACGTCAGATATTTGGAAAAGAACCAAATGCAACTCCCGGAAATAAACTGCATAACCCTTGAAACTAAAAATAGGTAGGTTAAACAGGTTTGAGATCCAGCTAAAGATAAAAGAAAGTATACAACACGTAGCACAGAGACCAAGATAGAAAATTAAGAGAGGTGAAGAGTCATTAGGGACAGTGTGGAAAGGTCTAAGGTTGGGGCACCTAGGTGGCTCAGCTGATTGGGTATCTGCCTTCACCTCAGGTCATGATCCCAGGGTCCTGGTACTGAGCACCATGTTGGGCTCCCAGCTCAGCAGAGAGCCTGCTTCTCCCTCTCCCCACTCTCCCCACTCTCCCCACTGCTCTCTCTTTCTCTCACTGTCTCTATATATCTCAAATAAATAAAATCTTAAAAAAAAATAAAATAGAAGATTGAAAGCACCCTTAAAAAAGGGAGGAAGAGGAAAATGAATAACACATCAACTTGCGGGAAGATACTCAACCTCTTGGGCAATCAGAAAAGCACAGTTTAAATCACATGAGCTTTATAACCACCAGCTTGGCAAAAATGAAAAGCTGCCAACACCAGCCTGGTATACAGAGTAGGCAGGACTGCCAGCCACTGCTTCTGGGAGCAACACCTGGTACAGCAACTTTGGAGAACAATGTGGGCTCATCTAAGGTGGAGCGTTCACTTGACCTCTAGACCACTGACTCTCCCAGAGAAACCTGCACCTGTTCATTCTGTTCATCAGGAGGTGCCCAAGGTGTCCACAGGGTGCTGAGGGCCAGACAGCACAAGTTGCCCATTGACATGGGAAGAGATTCACCTGTGGTGTTTATGAGTGGAATAGTGGACAGCAGTGAGAAGGGTGAACTGCATGCACGAACACAGATGAATCTCACACATAACTCGAGCAGTGTTATGTGTGAGAAGTGGACAGCAGTGAGAAGGATGAACCTGCATGCACGAACACAGATGAATCTCACACATAACTTGAGCAGAAAAAGCAAATCACAGGACACAAGCAAAAGTTAAAATAACCTGGTCGAGAGCAGAATTCAGGGAACATAAGGGAATAATAAGCCCAGAATCAAAGATTATTGCCTCAGACAGGAAATCCTTGGGACGCCTGGCTAGCTCCATCAATAGAGCATACAACTCTTGATGTCACAGCCATGAGTTCAAGCCCCACACTGGGCATGGAACCTACCTAATTAAAAATTTTTTTTAATTTTTATTTTATTTATTTATTTTTAAAGATTTTATTTATTCATGAGAGACACATGGAGAGAGGCAGAGATATAGGCAAAAGGAGAAGCAGGTTCCATGTAGAAAGCCTGACATGGAACTCCATTCCGGGATTCCAGGATCACACCCAGAGCCAAAAGCAGATACTCAACTGCTGAGCCACCCGGGCATCCCTTTTTTTTAAATTTTTAATTGAAAAAAAGGGAGGGAACTCTTAAGCTGGGTGCTGGTTGTATGGGCATCTTGTTTTTTTAAATAATCAATGTATCATTTTTTATAACCTATATATTATAACCTAATATATATTCTATATATTTTGTATATGTAATACGTTTTTTTGTTTTTTTTTTTTTTTTTAAGAGGAAGATCATAATGCTTTCTCTGTCTGCAGCTCAAATGAGACAACCAAATGAGAAACATTAGCTTCACTTTACTGGGCACTTACTATGAGCCAAGCCCTTGATCTACAGTAATACCATGAGACAGCAGATACCATCCAGGGTGGACACAGTTGGCTGTGGCCCCTGGCAAAGCCCCATGGAAGCAGGGAGTTGCCCGTCATAGGCACTAATTCTTTTTGCCTTCCCACAGGTGTTCAAGTCCACAGGAGATGTGGCTGGAGGCCGGGCTCTGTATGAGGGGTATGCAGCAGTCACTGATGCATCCCCTGAGTGCTTCCTCACCCTCAGGGACACAGTGCTGCTCCGCAAGGAGTCTCGGAAGCTCATCGTTCAGCCCAACACTCGCCTTGAAGGTAATGGACTCCCCAGCCCCCTTTGATTTACAAAAGGAGGCCTGGAACCCATCCCTGGGCTCAGGCAGGCTACCTGAGGTGACTCCTGCCTCTTTCCCTCATTCACCCAGTCCTCCCCATGCCAAACCCTAGGTCTGAACCTTGGCATCTACCACCACCACCCCACACATGCAGGGCTATGCTGCTTATAAGATAGCAACTGGAGGTTTGTGGAAGGTCAGCAGAGCAGGGGCTAGTGGAACAAACAGACCCCAGGCTCTTGGAGAAACCAGGCATGATCCTGAAGAATCAGGATCGTAAAAAAAAAAAAAAGAATCAGGCCTGTCGTTACCTGGGGATGAGGTGAGGGGCAGGCATGAATTGGACCCAATGGGCTGGTGGAACCCAAGGGACAGTGTGACTCCACAGAGCCCAGGAGAGCGATCAGCAGGCCCATGGGCCCTCTTCCTTCTCAAGTGATGATTCTGTTTCCAAAAGCCTTGACCCTGTCTGCACTGCACCTATTGTATTGGGGACCCTTGGGGGCCCAGCATCCTGCTGCATTTCCTCTTACCTCTTAATCCATCTTTCCTGACTCCTGTCACCTGAGGCACCTAAGCAGAGGTGCACCATAGTGTGAGCTTCAGAGCAGCTCTGTGACCTTGTCTTCATCCATAAAGCCAGTGTTGATTGTGTGCTGATGCTGTAGCAAACCTGAATTGGGTACTTCCTTCAAGCTCTTACTGCTTTCCATGGATTAACTCTTTAAATCCTCACCACAGGGGTGGCTAACAGGCTCAGTCAGTGGAGCATGTGACTCTTGACCTTGGGGTCATGAGTTCAAGCACCACACTGGGCATAGAGCATATTTCAAAAAAAATAAAAATAAATCCTCACCATAAGCCAATGAAGTAGTTACAGTTTACATCTTACAGTTAAGAAAACTGAGGCACAGAGCTTATAGCTCTTTACTGGAGGAGCCTAGAGTCAGATTAAGAGTGCTCCTCACTCCCATAGTCACAAGCAGTTGTGAAAGTTAAATGAAATAATTACTCCTCCTGGTGAGGAAGACGCATTTAAGAGGCTTATTTCCAACTCTTTACACTGCACTTCAGAGGCTTCAGGGGATTTGACCCTGACCCCTGGAAGGCCTCAGAGACCCCTCTTCCTGGCTCACTGGCTCCCGGGGCTCATGGCCTTTCTACGTTCCAACCCCCTGAGCTCACTCCACTCCCATAGCCTTTGCACTCACTGTTTCCTCTGCTGGGCACAGTCTGTGGTTGGTCCTTCCTGTCATTCTGGTCTCTGTTAAATGACACCTCCTGGGAGAGGCTGTCCCTGACCCCTCAACCTAAAGCAATCCCTTCATGCACTATCACTCTACTATTTTCCTATATGCCATACTTCATGTCAGCAGGAATAGCACATCCCCAGCAAGTAGCTAGCATAGAATCTGGCACACAGGAGCTGCTCAATGCATGTCAGATGAGTAATAGACAAATCATGCCAGACACGGAGTAAATGTTCATTACATTACCATTTTGATTGTCCAGCCCATTGTGGCTCTTGGGGATGGAGAGATGAATCAGACCCAGGCCCTTGCCTCAAGTAGTTCACAGTCCATTAGGAATAAGACCTAGAGAGGAATGATCACACCCAGGGAGTGTTAATAAGCGCCCAAGGGGGCCAAACGGTGTCTGAACACTTAAGAGAAGGGAAGATCACATTCACCTTTGAGGGAATCTGGGGAGGAAGTAGTTAAACTAAGCCTGAAGACCAAGTGGGATTTACAAAGGGATGGTGGTGATGATGATGATGGTGAGTAACTTTGGAGGATTTCCATGTGCCAGTCACTGGGTAAAAACTTTCAATGGATTAACTCCCAACACTCCCATGGGGAAGTTATTGTTTCATTTTTCAACTGGAAACTGAGACACTGAGGGGCTGTGTATTTGCCTGCAGTCAACAGTTAGTGGGTGGCAGAACCAGGATTTAAACATGTGCTGTCTGAACCCAAAGCCTGTGCTCTTAGCTACATACACCCCACAGTGCCACAAAGCATGACAAGGCTCTATGAGTGGGTGGAGCAGTGAAAGTACGTCGGAGGGAAATGCTTCCCATGAGGACTCAGGGGACCCTCAGAACAGCCCATGAGTTAAATGGGTGCCCCTTTAGTTCTGCTGGGTGCTCAAGATAACGATGCTAGTGATAGCTAGCACTTGTTGAGCATTCATTCGGTGCATTATTGTATTTAATCACTGTAGCTTCTTGAAAGAAGAAGCCCTGTGCTCACCCCCACTTTATAGGTGAGGAAAATGAGGCTTGGACAGGTTGTGAAACTTGTCCAAGGTCCCACAGTAGTCAGAGATGAAACAATTTCTGGACTGTACGCTCCTGGAGGCCAAGGACTGTCTATTTAACCTAACATGGCACCAGAGTATACACTTATTAAGTGAATGAATGAATGCAACAATTCGTTGAATACTCCCTCTTTAATGCTTCCTTCCTCATCAGGTTATTGTAGAGATTAAATTAGATAAGAAGACACTGAGCACAATTTTTGGCACATGGTAAGAGCTCAGGAAGACTACCTGCTCCTATGATTATGATTGTGATTATCTGCTTCCTATTAAGACCTTTACCAAAAAAAAAAAAGACCTTTACCTTCTGATGTTTTTTTTCCTTCTCCTCTCCAGACTCAGAAGTACAGCTTCTCGAGTATGAGGCCTCTGCTGCTGGCCTCATCCGATCCTTCTCCGAGCGCTTCCCAGAGGATGGGCCCGAGTTGGAGGAGGTCCTCACTCAGCTGGCCACAGCCGATGCCCGGTTCTGGAAGTGCCCCAATGAGACCTCATCCAACCAGGCTTGAGAGATTTATGCAGCTCCTCCCCCAACTCCACCAAACCAGGGTTGCAAGTGACCCCCCTTTCATTTGTGTGCTAGGGGAGGAGCAGGAGCTCGCACCTTGGTTCTACCTCAGCCAAGGGTGGTGACACTAACCCCTTCCATTTGTCGGCACTTGCCAGTTTACCGAGTGCTTCTCCTGTGTTATCTCATTTGATCTGCACTGCCCTTGGGAAGAGTGGGCAAGGCCGGGCTCCTTATGCTGCTTCCCAGATAAGGGAATGGAAGTTCTGAGAACTGACTGTCTAGATGCTACAGGACTCAAAACCTCTCCCAATCCAGTGCTCTTCATTACTTTTATAACCAGAAAAATAAACATTAGAAACAACCACCATCTTTGGAATTTGTGTGAATCTTTGATTCTGCCTTGCTTCTCATTTGCTCCCAGCAGGGCAATGGGATCAAGGCCTGGGGAAGGGAAGAATGTCAGTTTAGGTTCCCCTCCACAACAGGGTTTTGATAACACTTCTAAATGATACACAGCCATGAGGAGGAGCGTAACACACTTTCTGCAGTCCTCCTTTGTGGCATTATCCTGTATTTAAAAATATTCCAGGAACCTGAAAACTGGAAACTCAATTTCAGTCAATCCTAGGATTTAATCTCTTAACACTGTGTTTTGTTTCTCTGAGCGCAGCCCTCTAGAAGGACATAGCCCCTTTTCAACCGGATTAACCATGAGGAGGAGGAGGGTGTAGTGGAGTCAGTTTCACTGCTCAGAAACACTGAAAGGCTGCTCTCCAGGCCAGAGGGTTCTGCCAATAATCCAGAAATTGCAAAGCCAGGAAGTTCCGGCTGGGAAGGAGCAAAAAATAAATCATACAAGTTGGGATGAGGAACTGCGCCTCAGCAGGCAGGAACCCAACTAACAGGCCAGCATATCCTGCTGGGTAACCCGGGGGCCGGAAAGCTGAGCGCCCGGAACCTTTGTACGCGCCCTTCCAGAGCCCGAGCACTTTTCAACGTTGCGCGGCGGCTGGCCGCAGCCGGTTGCCAAGGTGACGCCTGAGAAGATGGCTGCTGCGTCTTCGTCGGATTCCGACAGCGGCAGAGCTGACAGGTGAAGCCCGGGGATTTTCGAGACCTTTCTTACAAATGTAGAGAAGGGGTCTTGGGCCCCGGGATCTGGGCTCCTAGGTTCTCAGAAAGCGCTGGCGTCCTTGAAGGAATCTTAGGGAAACTGAGGCGCAAATCAAATAGGGAAACTGAAACGCAGAGTGAATGGACGTGCGCATGTGAATGATTCTAGGTCCCTCGGTGAGCCTGTGATGGAGCCTGGACTTGGCCCCAGACGTCTGTACCCCCATTTCAGAGGTCCCTACACACCTCCCTCCCAGAGACTAGCTCCTGCAGAGCGCTCTTCCCCTCCCTTGAGACTCAGCTCCCATCTTTTCCCCTTCTCTCTCCAGCAGTGAGGCCAGTTCGAAATGGCTGGACGCACACTACGACCCCATGGCCAACATCCACACCTTTTCCTCTTGCCTAGGTGAGTCTCTGGGACCGGGAACCCCTGCTGGGGAGATGGAGTCTAATAATGGTTCTGTAGCGAAGTCTCAAGGATTGTGAATCCCTGGCTCATGGCCTTTTTGTGTTTTCCAGCGCTGGCAGATTTGCACGGGGATGGGGAGTACAAGGTAAGCCTATCACCCCCGCAGAAAGAACCAAGATGCCAGGTAGTATCAGAAGTGAGATTTCCTGATGGCTTCAAAGGAGCTCAGCATAATCTAGAACTCATGTGTACCCTGAAAAAGTACATTTAGTGTCAAATTTTATTTTTACGTGGATGGTGAAGAGAACCTGTTGATTTCATAATACAGACTGCAGAAGTAAAGCAGAATGAAATGCTGCTGGGGGTTCTACTAAGACAAAGCTTCTTAATTTTGTTAATTTGTAATTTCTTGCTGGAAGGGTACATCTCTTAGTTGGGGGTAGGGCATTGAAACCTGGAGAGAAAGTAAAAGGGAGGGAAGTGGAAGTTTTAGGTTTTTTAAAAGGGCACAGATTTTTTTTTTTATAAATTAATTTTTATTGGTGTTCAATTTACCAACATACAGAATAACACCCAGTGCTCATCCCGTCAAGTGTCCCCCTCCGTGCCCGTCACCCATTCACCCCCACCCCCCGCCCTCCTCCCCTTCCACCACCCCTAGTTCATTTCCCAGAGTTAGAAGTCTTTATGTTCTGTGTCCCTTTCTGATATCTCCCACACATTTCTTCTCCCTTCCCTTATATTCCCCTTCACTATTATTCATATTCCCCAAATGAATGAGAACATACACTGTTTGTCCTTCTCCGATTGACTTACTTCACTCAGCATAATACCCTCCAGTTCCATCCACGTTGAAGCAAATGGTGGGTATTTGTCGTTTCTAATGGCTGAGGAATATTCCATTGTATACATAAACCACATCTTCTTTATCCATTCATCTTTCGATGGGCACCGAGGCTCCTTCCACAGTTTGGCTATTGTGGACATGGCTGCTAGAAACATCGGGGTGCAGGTGCCCCGGCGTTTCATTGCATCTGAATCTTTGGGGTAAATCCCTAACAGTGCAATTGCTGGGTCGTAGGGCAGGTCTATTATTAATTCTTTGAGGAACCTCCACACAGTTTTCCAGAGTGGCTGCACCAGTTCACATTCCCACCAACAGTGTAAGAGGGTTCCCTTTTCTCCGCATCCTCTCCAACATTTGTTGTTTCCTGCCTTGTTAATTTTCCCCATTCTCACTGGTGTGAGGTATATCTCATTGTGGTTTTGATTTGTATTTCCCTGATGGCAAGTGATGCAGAGCATTTTCTCATGTGCATGTTGGCCATGTCTATGTCTTCCTCTGTGAGATTTCTCTTCATGTCTTTTGCCCATTTCATGATTGGATTGTTTGTTTCTTTGGTGTTGAGTTTAAGAAGTTCTTTATAGATTTTGGAAACTAGCCAAAAGGGCACAGATTTTAATATTGGCCATGAAGCAATAATTGTTGAAGTTGGATGGCAGATATTTGGGGGTTCATTATGTGAGTCTCTCTGCTTTTGTATATGACTAGAACTTTCCATAATAAAAATGTTGAATTTTAAGTTTAATTTAAAACATAAAGAAAAATAAATAAATAAAACATAAAGAGATGGGACGCCTGGGTGGCTCAGTGGCTGCGCGTCTACCTTCGGCTCAAAGTGTGATCCTGGAGTCCTGGGATCGAGTCCCACATCGGGCTACCTGCATGGAGCCTGCTTCTCCCTCTGCCTATGTCTGCCTCTCTCTCATGAATAAATAAATAAAATCTCTAAAAATAAGTAAATAAAACAAAGAGAAATAAAATATAAGTGGATTAATTTAAAAATTAAAGGTACAGGTTTTTAAAAGATTGAGAAATATTTTGGGCTTAAAGAAGGTTAACTTATATTGAGTATCCATTTCTTTTTTTTTTTTTTTTTTTTGAGTATCCATTTCTGGGCTAGACCCTCTTTGAGCATTTTCATATACATAGATATTATTTATTTCCAATTTATTAATGGGAAAATAGATTCAGAGACAATGAGGAAGCTTAGTAAATTTGTAAAAAGTGGCATACCTGGGTCTGTCGCATTCCCAGTTATGTGTTCCACTGTTGCTCAGCCATGGGCAATGAACCCACAGTGGGCATGCTATTTGGTCCATTAGAGGATAGCTCTGGGACAGCCCAGGTGGCTCAGAGGTTTAGCGCCGCCTTCAGCCCGGGGCGTGATCCTGGAGACCCAGGATCAAGTCCCACGTCGGGCTCCCTGCATGGGCTCTCTGCCTATGTCTCTGCCTCTCTCTCTGTGTGTGTCTCTCATGAATAAATAAATAAAACCTTAAAAAAAAAAAGAAGATAGCTCTGGAATGGTATCACTTTAAGATTTTATTCATTTATTCATGAGAGGCACACAGAGAGAGGTATAGACATGGGCAGAGGGAAAAGTGGCTCCCTGTTGGGAGCCTGATGCGGAACTCCATCCCATGATCCTAGGATCACGACCTGAGCCAAAGGCAGACGCCCAACCACTGGGGCACCTGGGTGCCCCAGGAATCATACTCTCTATGGAGAGTTCAGCAGAATTTGGGAGACTTTTTGCCTCCAAATTCCTGTCCATAAAGCATTCTGCAATTTGACAAGTGTATAGTGAACCCCTACTGTGTGTCAGGCATTGTGCAGACACTAAGAAATGAATCAGTACATAGTCAGGAGGAGATACAGACACTGGCTTTAATTTGCCTGTGATATTAACAGAATACTGTGTGCTTGGCGCTGGGTTTATAGCAGTGAAAGATAAAGAAATCACAGCCTCAATAACACGTGAAATGTGAGATGCTTTTGTGTAATAACTTTTTTAATGCCTAGCTTTGTTGATTCCCAGCATCTGCCCAGTGCCTGGCACAAATTAGGTACTCAGTAAATAGTTGTGGAGCTAATGAGTGGATGCTAAAATTGAATATATGGAAAGTATTTTGGGAGCAGCAGGGAGAGAATAGTGAAATCTACCTGGAGTTACCAGGAGGCAGTAACGTGCAAACTGGGTATTGAAGGATGAGTGAAATGTATCAAGAAGGAATGGAAGACAGAAGGGGGAGGACATTCCAGGCACAGGGAACAGCACAAGTGGAGGCACAGAGGCTTGGAAGTATATAGCATATTTGGAAAGAGTAAATTTGGAGTTAGAAAGTGAAAGTCAATATAAAATAGTAGTGGGATGCCTGGGTGGCTCAGTGGTTGAGCATCTGCCTTTGGCTCAGGGCGTGATCCTGGGCCTGGGGATCCAGTCCCACATTGGGTTCTCCACATGGAGCCTGCTTCTCTCTGTGCCTATGTCTCTGTCTCTTGTGAATAAATAAATAAATAAATAAAATCTTAAGATATATATATCATACATAATATGTCATATATATATGATAGTAGTTAAGACACTGGCTTGGGTTCAGACAAACCTAGATTCCAGTCCCAGCTCTACCACTTCCTTGAGTGACTTTTACCTAACATTTCTGAGCCACAGCTTCCCCATCTGTGAAATGGGGCTAATACTAGTACTTACCTCATAAACTGTTGAAAGGATTTAATGAAAGGATGAATGTAGTTCCTGGTGTAGCTCTGGGCACACTGTACATTCTCAGAATCCAGATGTTCTATGGCAGCCCCCACTCTGGCTGGAGCATAGCATGGGTGGGAGGTGATGGAAAACAAGCTGGAAATCAGATCAGAGAGGCCTTGAAAACCTCACATGGGAGGGATGCCTGGGGGACTCCGCGGTTGAGTGTCTGCCTTTGGCCCAGGGTATGATCCCAGGATCTGGGATATAGTCCCACATTGGGCTCCCTGCATGGAGCCTGCTTCTCCCTCAGCCTGTGTCTCTCATGAATAAATAAAATCTTAAAAAAAAAAAAAAAAAACCTCACATGGAAAATGAGCTTGCATGGTGGCCACAGTGACTTGGAGGAGGGATTAGAGAGTGGAAGAGAGACTGAAAGCTTGGTTTTCCTGTCTGCAGAGCACATCCTGCTCTCCAGACATGCTTGTGCTTCCTTAGCTTTGTTCCCATTTGGAAGCCAGGCCTCAGGCCCAGATAGGAGTTTCTAGCACCCCCAGACTTCACCCACTGTCCACTATCTAGAATAGTGCCTGGCATTGAGCAGACTCTGAAGAAGTGTTTACTGAATGAATAGTGAAAACATCATCTGCCACCTACTCCTCACTAGCACTCGCCAGGCTCCATAATTCCTCACCTCATTTGATTTTCACAAGTATCATGAGGTGGATATTCCCATTTTGCAGGTGGGAAAACTGAGCTCAGGAAGTTTAATCAGCCTTCCCAAGGTCACACAGCTTGCAAGCCTTATTTGCAAAGTCTTCTCGCCCTCTACTTAATGCACTGGTGTGGGAGTAGATAAATGTGCACTGGCAAAAATGCTAAGCCCAAGAAGAGAGTCAGTGGAGGGGTCTTTGGACCTTGAGCTTGGAATAAGCCAGCCTCTTTCTACAGCTGGTGGTGGGGGACCTTGGCCCCAGTGGGCAGCATCCCCGCCTGAAGGTGCTCAAAGGACCCACGGTTCTAACTGAAAGTCCGTTACCTGCACTGCCAGCTGCTGCAGCCACCTTCCTCATGGAGCAGCACGAGCCCCGGACGCCAGCTCTAGCGCTCGCCTCAGGCCCTTGTGTGTATGTATATAAGAATCTTAAGCCCTACTTCAAGTTCACCCTGCCCCAGTTGCCTCCAAACCCCCTGGAACAAGATCTTTGGAACCAGGTCAAGGAGGTGAGTGATGTTGGGGATGGGAATCAGAAGACAAAAATGGCGGCCACCTGATCCATCCTCATTCCCTGCCTGACTCGGGAGCTCACAGGCTTAGCTTTTTTCCTTGCTGTCCTAGGACCGGATTGACCCCTTGACACTGAAGGAGATGCTGGAAGGCATCCGGTGAGAGCCCACTTCCCCCATATGCCCTTCATCCCTTGCTTAACTCCCCTTCATCCCAGTGTTCTTTCTCCATTTGACCCCCAGCACCCTATTCCTCCACTAAATCTACCATGGTACCCCTCTCCTTTCAGGGAGAAGGCAGAGGTGCCTTTATCTGTACAGTCACTCAGGTAAGGGCCATGTGGCAGTCCAGGGTTCTGGAAGCTCCAGGGGGAAGGCAGTAGCTCAGGAGTGGCACGTGGAGGGAAGTAGACCCAGGGCATGCAGATGCCAGTTCTCTGTGTGTGCAGGTTTTTACAGCTGGAGCTGAGTGAAATGGAGTCATTTGTGAGCCAACACAAGTCCAAGTCCATCAAGCGGCAGGTAATGCCCCTTCTCTCTTTATTTCCCTGTAAAAAATATGGAAAAAATTTTTTAAAGATTTTATTCATTTATTCATGAGAGACACAGAGAGAAAGAGAGGCAGAGACACAGGCAGAGGGAGAAGCAGGCTCCATGCAGGGAGCCCGACGTGGGACTCAATCCCCAGTCTCCAGGATCAGGCCCTGGGCCGAAGGTGGCTGGAGGCTGACCCTCAGTCCAGTCCCAGAGCCTCTGTCTGTGTTTTAGCAAGCTTCATGGGAACCCTCTACTTCCTGGTGAAGCCAGTTATGCCAAATTCCTGGACCCGAGCTGCCTTGGCTTTTGGCTAACCGGAGACCAATGCTATTCTTTCCTGATGATCAGCAACTCAAATCCACAGTTATCAATATCTTTAAGTACTTACAAAATCATCAAGTGAATTAATTATTGCTTAAAAGATGCAGTTTACAGGAGGGAGGAAATCTTTCCAAGATATATATGTCATGGTTATATAATTAGGAGCCATTACTATCCACGTTTCTGTAACCTTTCTCTTTCCACTAGGCATTGAAGAGTGATTCCTCTTTTTTAGTCGTAAAGATTATCACACAATGAGCAATTTTATCCAAAGAAACATTTTCGTCCTGCTACATTACTTTTATAGGAGAAATTTCTAAAAAGGGGATCGTCCTCTTTTGTATTCTCTCCAATCACAATCACAAAAGGAACGTGTGCCCACTGTAGAAATTCTAGAAGTGCACAATGACGATATATTAACATCACCTGTGATTTCATTGTCCAGAGATAACCAGTTTTTGTATTTATGAGTTTAGCCTTTCCAGCATGTTTTTTTATCCAGATATTTTTTAAACCAGGATTGTTCTAATGTAACATTTTACCTATTTTTTCTCTTTTTAAAAAAATTTTTAAATTTTTTTCTTTTAATACATTAGAGGTATTCTCCTTGTCATTGAATCTTTTAAAATGTGATTTTTGTCTCCGCCTCTCTCTCTGTGTCTCTCATGAATAAATAAAATCTTTTAAAAAAAGATATTAAAGTGTGATTTTTAAAATGACTACATGGTTTTTGATCAAATGGAGATTTTATTGTCTTAAACAAGCCTCTTTTTTAGAAAGTTAGGTTTGTTGCAGTGAACACTTTTGTCACATCTCTGATATTCTTCGTCCTCCTTCACCCTCTTTCTTCCCTCCTTTGGTATCCTTGGGCTGTCTGTGGGGATGGTGTTGGGGATCCCCCTGGGTGACTCCTGAAGTCCTCCTGCAGACAGTCATCACCACCATGACCACCTTAAAAAAGAATCTGGCTGACGAGGATGCTGTGTCCTGCCTGGTGCTGGGCACTGAGAACAAGGAGCTCCTGGTGCTGGACCCAGAGGCCTTCACCATTTTGGCCAAGGTCAGTGTGGGGCCTGGACACAGCTAAGGCCCAGGCTACATTCCCTCCCTCTGTTCCCCCGCACCTCCTGCCCCTAGTTCCTGGTAATACACATTGTAGAAAAAAACTTACAAAATGTAGATAAGCATAAAGAAAAAAATATATGTCCAAAAAATACCACCACCCACACTGTCGTCTACTATTAAAGTTTGGCATGTCTTTCCAGAATTTTCATACTGAGACACAGATATATAACTTATAAATAAATTTTTCACAAAAATGGCTTAGTGATATAGGATCATGTAGCCTGCTCTTTTTACATAGTAGTAGCTCATTGATGTCTGTCCATATCTGCATAAAACTATTCAGCCCTTTTTTTTTTTTTCTTAAGAGAGCACGATCAGGGAAGGGACAGAGGGAAAGAGACAATCTTAAGCAGACTCCACGCTCAGCATGGAGCCCGACGTGGGTCTCAGTCTCACAATCTTGAGATCCTGACCTAAGCCAAAACCAGGAGTCAGATGCTTAACCAGTTGAGCCACCGAAGTGCCCCCAGCCTTTTTTTTTTTTTAACTTTATTTAAGTTCTTTTTTTTTTTTTTAATTTTTATTTATTTATGATAGTCACACACAGAGAGAGAGGCAGAGACACAGGCAGAAGGAGAAGCAGGCTCCATGCACTGGGAGCCCGACGTGGGATTTGATCCCGGGTCTCCAGGATCGCGCCCTGGGCCAAAGGCAGGCGCCAAACCACTGCGCCACCCAGGGATCCCTAAGTTCATTTTTTTAAGCAATCTCTACACCCAATGTGAGGCTCAAACTTATGCCTCCGAGATCAGGAGTCACAAGCTTCACCGACTGAGCCAACCTAGCTCCCCCAAATAAGCCTTTTTAAAGGCTACACAATATTCATTATATAAATATACCATGATTTATTTATCTTGTCACCTAGTGTATAGTTAAGTTGTTTTCAGTTTTCATTATTATCAGCATTGCTACAGCAAACTTCCTTGCCCAAACATCTGTGTGTGTTCATCTTAATAATTATTTAGGATGCATTCCTAGAGGGCCACCTGGGTGGCTTATTTGGTTAAGTGTCTACCTTCAGCTCAGGTTATGATCCCAGGGAATCAGGCCCTGCATCGGGCTCCCTGCTCATCAGAGAGCCTGCTTCTCCCTCTTCCTCTGCCCCTTCACCCTACTTGTACTCTCTTTCTCTCTCAAATAAATAAATAAAATCTTTTTTTAAAAAAAAGGATGTATGCCTAGAAGTGGCATAGTTTAGTCAAAGGGGATAGACATAAAGGCTTTTGCTACATATTGCTGAGTTTCCCTCCAGAAAAACGTTACAAGTTTAAACTAGGACCAGGGTGTGAGTGAGTGAGGAGATTGGAAATTTGGACAAGGAAGCAACTCAGAGGAGTTACTTCAAGGTAAGAAGGATGCGGGTGCCAGAAAAATTGGGATGTTTGAGCCTCTCCTTTGCAGATGAGCCTACCCAGCGTCCCTGTCTTCCTGGAGGTTTCTGGCCAGTTTGATGTAGAGTTCCGGCTTGCTGCTGCCTGCCGCAATGGAAACATCTACATCCTGAGAAGGTATATGCCACATCCAGGGTCTCTGGGGCCAGGAGGAACAGGGGTTTTGGGGCTGGTATTCGGGAATGGAAAGAGGTGGGAATTTCTTTTTTTTTTTTATTTTTATTTATTTATTTATGATAGTCACAGAGAGAGAGAGAGACAGAGACAGAGACACAGGCAGAGGGAGAAGCAGGCTCCATGCACCGGGAGCCCGATGTGGGACTCGATCCCGGGTCTCCAGGATCGCGCCCTGGGCCAAAGGCAGGCAACAAACCGCTGCGCCACCCAGGGATCCCCGAGGTGGGAATTTCATAGAGAAGGCTGAGCTCACATGCATAGGGGGACATCTGGAAGCTGTGTGATGGGGACTGGCAAAGTGCGAGACTGAGCAGGGTGGCTGTAACACATGAGCTTTGCAGCCAGAGATGGGAAGAAGTAAAAATAGCCTCTCATTTGCTGTATGGCTTTATAAGTATGTGACACTTCTTTATGCATTAGGTTGATATTCCTTACAACATTCATCTAATTCAAGAAATCTCTTTGAGCACTTAATACGTGCTATGTATTAAGCATTATATAAGGTATCAGGGATATGTTGATATGTTGATAAATGATATAAACATAGTCCCTGCATGATTTGAAGGAAAAAAATACAAGCTCAATGGGGAAAAATAATAGGTCCAGGGTAATCAGTGAAAATCCATGTCTGTAGAGATAATGTCGAAGGTTAAGAAATAGCTAGTTGTTTGAAAAGTGGGGAAGAAGTGTTGTAGGCAGAGAAAACTTGAGCAAATTCAAGATGGGAATGCCACTGACATGTGCCCCTCAAGCTTGATGGGAATGGAGGAGGGCAGAAAGAGGCATGTGGGAACCAGGCCTGGCTAATGCATGACCTGTTAGGACATGATAAGGATTTTAGATTTGAAAACTATTACAGGGTTTTAATCAGAAGAATGATATGAAACATTTATATTTTTAAGAGATTACTCTGCTAAGTGGAGAGTAGATTGGAAGGAGGCCCAGAGACCAGAGGGAGGCTCTCAGATGGGTCATCACATGGGATATAATCAGCAGACTTGGTAATGAAGAAAGGGAGCCATAGCCTGTGATTGGTAGGCAGGAATTACCTCTTCTTTCTAGATAAGAGAAACTAAGATTCAGAAGCCAGGAAACTGAAAACAGTGCATTTACACAGAGCAGACCTCTCATGCATTTCTGATAAATTCCTGAGTTGCCTCAGACTGCTAGCACTTTATCTAGCCTAAGGTACATGCACTGTAAACTGTTCAATGCCAGGTGATCACACAAATCACTGTAGTAAAGGCAGCAGGGAGATGGAAAGAAAACACACTTCATGTTATCCAAGGTCACATAGGGGCTGAGTGGTAAATGTGGAAATAATACTACAGTCATCGACCTTTGGGCCAAAGCTTCCTTCCAGGATAGTCTGTGGGGCTTAGAAAGAGGACGGTCAGCCAGGGAAGGAAAGAGGGTTTCTCTGGGGCTTGGAGAGTGTGTCTTTATTCCACAGAGACTCCAAGCGCCCCAAGTACTGCATCGAGCTGAGTGCCCAGCCTGTGGGTCTTGTCCGGGTACACAAGGTCCTGGTGGTGGGCAGCAATCAAGACACCCTGCATGGCTTCACCCACAAGGTGTGGCTTCCGGGCAAGCATCATCCCCCACCCCCTCCACATATGTCTCCCTGGTCCCCCTTAGCAAACTATTCCTTCTGGTGTCCCTTTCCCTGCAACTCCAGCTACCCTGTCTTTCCACGCTGTGCCCTGAACCCTCCCAGTGTAAGAAGCTCTTCCCTCCCAGGGTAAGAAGCTGTGGACAGTGCAGATGCCTGCAGCTATCCTGACCATGAACCTCCTGGAGCAGCGTTCTCGGAGCCTGCAGGCCGTCATGGCTGGGCTGGCCAATGGAGAAGTCCACATATACCATGACAAGGCCCTGCTCAATGTCATCCGCACCCCGGTGAGCTGCTGACTCCTCTTTGCCCCCTCTGGGGCCCCCTCTGGGGCTTCTTAGCTGCCTCTCCTGATGCCACTCCTGGTGACCTTGACTTTTGATTTTTTTTTTTTCAAGATTTTATTTATTTGAGAGAGCATGCGCAAACACGCGCACAACGGGCAGGGTGGGCAAGCAGGCAGAGGGAGAGGGAGAAGCTGACTCCCCACTGAGCAGGGAGCCTGACACAGGACTCAATCCCAGGACCCTGAGAAGGCGGATGCTTAACTGACTGAGCCACCCAGGCATGCCACAGATGGATTTTTAAAAATCTAGATGATACTGTCTTCCAGTTAAACATTTGGTCATTTATATTTATAATGTAAGGTGACAGCCAGCCAGTGACATAGCTAATTCAAATACAAGTGAGACTAAAGCAGAGCAAAATACTGACAAAGCACAGAGTGGTGACTGGGGGTGGTGGTGAAGGATAAATGGAGGTAGAATTCACGAGTCATTTCTCAAAGCAAATGAGAATTCTGCTGGGCCCTGGAACAGTTTGCCAAGCGGCTGTGTGGGGGAAGAACATTCCAGACCAGAAACACATGAGCAAAGGCTGAGAGGCACAAATATTCTTGATTAAGGAATACAGGTGGTTTGATAAGTTTGGACCAGAGTTTCTCAAGCACTAAGTTTGAGTTATTAATTTAATGGGTTGCAACCAGCAATAAACTCTGAAAACAGAAATTTCAGAGTATATTACACAGACACCTACAGGCTGTTGGAAGACAAGTGGGGTGACCATTGGGGGATAGTAGAGGAGAACAGAAAAGGCAGGTTGAAGTCAGATGTGAAAGGCCTTGAATTGTTCTAACACGACGGACGAAAGCTATTGGAAAATTTTTGGCAGAAAATAGACATGATCATTTTTGTATTTTTGAAAGGCATCAGTGTGAAGGACGGACTGGGAAGAAACACTAGGCTGGGAGCTTTTTAGAAAACTGCCCCCAGAAGCCTGGGACATTTAGTCTAGAACTGTGGCCATGGCAGTGACGTTAGAAGGGAGATGAGAAATAAGGGGAATATTTTGGAGGCAGCATTGCCCCGGTCTTACCTCATGTCTCTATTATTATATCTGGGGTCTCACAACCTTATCACTCCACCCATCTTACTCTCCTCTCCAAGATATTTTCCTCTTTAAACTCTAGTGTTTCCATTCTAGGATGTGGTAACCAGCCTTTGCTTTGGCCGCTATGGACGGGAAGATAACACTCTCATCATGACTACACGAGGTGAGTGGACTCGGACCTGGCAAGGGTTTTAGAGTTAGGTGCGAAGGTGACACAGATCCTGGGAAGGAATAGTGGATGTGAAGCACAGGCAGGCCTGGGTTTGGAAAGCAAGGCTTACAGACACACATCCTGTCTGGAGCTAGCTCATCAGCAATTTGATAGCGCCATATGGCCAGTGTCTCCAGTTCTCCCAGTCTCCTCAGTACCTGCCATAATGCAGGGAACATCACAGTCAATAAGTAACTGCTAATGAATGAGTGAATGAATGGTAGGACATTGTTATAGGGATGCCTAGGTGGCTCAGTCTGTTAAGTATCTACCTTTGGCTCAGGTCATGATCCCAGAGTCCTGGGATCGAGCCCCACGTCAGGCTCCCTGCTCAGCAGGGACCCTGCTTCTCCCTCTGTCTCTGCCTGCTGCTCCTCCTGCTTGTGCACTCTCTCTTTCCCTGTCAAATAAGTAAATAAATAAAATTAAAAAAAAAAAACAAAACAGGGATGCCTGGGTGGCTCAGCTGTAGAGCCTCTGTCTTCGGCTCAGGGCATGATCCTGGAGTCCCAGGGTCGAGTCCCACATTGGGCTCCCTGCATGGAGCCAGCTTCTCCCTCTGCCTATGTCTCTGCCCTTCTCTATTTGTCTCTCATGGATAGAAAGATAAAAGCTTAAAAAAAAAACCCACAAAAACAAAAAAACACTATAATCCTTCTAGAAATCCAGAATCTTGGCAGGAATACAGACATGGACAGAAATGGCTCTATCTAAAGCAGAACGTTTGTGGAGGAAAGACCAGGAATGTTGAGCAGAACTGAGGACAACAGATCTGTTTCTGTCTGTCTACTTCCTAGGCGGTGGCTTGATTATCAAGATCCTGAAGCGTACAGCAGTGTTTGTGGAAGCAAGAGGTGAGGCAGGCCCCCCACCAGCCCAGGCCATGAAACTGAGCGTGCCCCGAAAGACCCGGCTTTATGTGGACCAGACACTGCGAGAGCGGGAGGCTGGCACCGGTGAGACTCAGACCAGGTCCTTCCTCTTCCTTCTCAGTTGCTCCGAAGCAGCAAGAACTGAGTGATCCTGCTTCAGAGCATTGATGAACCCACCTGGGTGCTCTAAGCACTGGGTGACCTGGGTAGCCAAGCAGGTGTCCTGCCTCTGGAAGTCCAGAGACTGCCGAGGAGATCCACTGCCTCAAGGTAGAAGATGCTGTAGGTGAGGGCAGGTGTTCTTTGAATGCAGAGGAGAGAACAGTTGCTTCTAGATGCTGGAACTCTCACAAGAGAAGTCGAATTGGACCAGCATTCTTCTTTTTCCTATTCAGTGTTTCTTGCTTTTCACTCATTCTTCCATTCATTCAGTACCTGCGATTATGCCAGGCCTTGTGCCAGGTGCCTTGAAATAGGTTAGGCCTTACCTGAGGAGCTCAGTCTACCTTGCTAACTTCATGTTGCCTGACAGGTGTAGAAGAGGTCTCTGTAAAGAGGTCTCTAGTGAGGCTCATAGGAATGAGGAAGGTGGCATAGGAGCCTGGGAGAAGCTTCAGAGGGAGGTGACATTGGACTTCGCCCTGAGATGATTATAAGTCCACCAGCAGAAAGGGGTAGGGAAGGGAGATTCAGGCAGAGGTGTGAGTAGAGGCATAGGACCCTACCCAGATTCAAGCAACATCCACCATGTGGTCATAGGCGCTGTGCAAGAAGGCCGGGTGGCAGAGCAGAGGCTGGCAGGGTAGGTGAGAGCTGGTTCCAAAAGGGCCTGGAATACACAGATGTTTGATTGATTCTAGATAGTGGGGGCTGGGAAGGATGTTAAAAATATAGTAACTCAACCAGCTCTGTCTTCGAAAGTGACCTTGTTTATACTTTTAAAAGATAAATTAGAGGATAAAAGAGCTAGCAGCTATTAGAGCCTAGAGAATCCCAACAGAAGCAATTGAAACATTTGAAAAATAATTCGGAAGTTCTGTAAGGTGACCAAATATAAAATATACAAAAATAAATTACTTGGTATATACATACCAAGAGTAACCAGTCAGAAAATATAATGCAGAATCTCCTTTCACGATAGCAACAAAATCCCTAGAAATAAACCTAACAAGAAAATAGCAGTCTAAGAAAGAAAGTTCCAGAAAGAAAGTTCCAGAACTGCTGTCCAGGACGTAAAAGACCACCTGAATGATGAATGATGAATGATGAGACTTCCCAAGCTGTTGATTAATTAGCAGCTTCTGAAATTAATCTAGGAAGACAACAATACAGGGAAAATCCCAATAGGGTTTATTTTGAGGACTTGACCAGTTGATTCTAAGAGTAGATCTAAGTAAAATTTGTGGGTGGGGGTGAGGATTAGGAACAAGGTGACTTAGCCGATCAGGAGAATGAACTATGCAGCTGTAGGAATTGGCAGCTGTGCTCCAACTACAGGAACTGACACCAATCGAGGCACATTTAGAAAGTCCAAAAACAGACCCTCATCTCTGTGGAAGGTCAGTATATGTTAAAGATACCATTTTAGATTAGTAGGAAAAGGAGAGAAAGTCCAAAAAAGCATAATTAGGACAACTCGCTTCTGGAAAAATACTTAGTACTCTACTTCAAACCAAGCACAAACATTAATTCTGGGTAAGTTAAAAATAAGTTGTAAAAGTACCAGGGCAAAAAAGGAAAGATTAATAGATGGGGTAACATAAAGATATCAAACTTCTGGGTGGCAGAAGCCTCCGCACACAAGTAAAAGAGCAAGAGCAGGCTCGCAAACCAGTATGCTGAGTCTGGAACAGAGAGTCCCAGCAGGAATGAAGGTGGCGCAGGCTCTGGCAATGGCTTTGAGGAACAGTCCTCAGACCTTGGCAGATGATTAGCCAATAGGGCAGAACCTGGGTCACCAAGTGGAGGGGATGCAGTGGCGGAGGCAGGGAGGTGAGATGGGCTTCCTCAGCGCTGAGCTGGAGGTGTTGATGGGACGTCCAGGGGGAGGTGACTATAAGGCAACGAGAAGCGGGAGGCAGGCCCAAGTGTCAAGCTGCTGGAGATGCAGCGCACAGTGTTGTGAGTGGACACGGGCTGGGCCCTGAGTGGGGGCACACTCGGAAGCGATGAGTCCTCACCCTCAGGAGCTCCAAGTTGCTCCTCACTGGGGTGCTCACAGTCTGCGGCAGGACATAGACTGTCCAAAGGAGGAGGATGGAGGACAAGACTCCAGGGAACACCGGCCCTTAAGGCAGAATCAAAGGAGCCAACCAGGAGACTGGGACTGTGCGGGTAGCACAGTGTTAGGAGACCAGGAAGGAGGTAGCCGCGTGTGTGCCACAGAATCCAGTGTTACTGGCAGGTTGGGCCACTGCATCTCCGTGTTCTGTTTCCCCACATCCCCTGCCCTCTCAGACCTTGCCTTCGTCTTGCGTGTCTGACAAGCCACCCATGTAGGACACCCCTCTCCCCCGCCTCTGCCCCGTCCTACATTCCTTTACCTCCAGCACCTGCCCTCTTTGTGCCCCTCTCCTCAGCCATGCACCGGACTTTCCAGACTGACCTCTACCTGTTGCGCCTCCGGGCTGCCCGTGCCTATGTGCAGGCCCTCGAGTCTAGCCTGAACCCTGTGTCTGTGACGGCTCGTGAGCCCCTCAAGCTGCATGCTGTGGTAAGCTCCCAGGTGTGCAGGGCAATCAGGCTACCTCAAGGCCAAGAGGGCAGAGGTCAAGGGTGAATAGGAGCCCCTCAGCCCCAGAGCCAATTCTGAGTCCACTAGGCCTTGTGCCCACTTCTCATCTCCCCTAAGCCCAGAGACCAAGTCTCTGTCTTCCTTCAAGAAGGTGCTCTCCTCTCTGTTGTGCTGCCTCTTCTTGTGCACTTGCTGTGCACACCTCCTTCTTCCCAGGACTGGAGGGACTCTGACAGCTATGGTACAAGGAAGAAAGCTATTCACTCAGTAACTCCAGGCATCCTGAGGTGTTAGGACTGCCTGGTATAGGGAAGGGAAGTCCTGAGACTTGCGCAAGAGGAGGAGCCCCTGCTCCTCAGACACAAGTGACCACAAGGTCATCTGGGCTCTGGCCAGCACTAAATGGGTCCCAGAGGTATGCTGTCTGACCCAATTGGGTTTCCGATTTCTCTTTCCCTAAAGGAAGTGGATAGATAAGAGACAGGAAGAGGCTGGAGACTAAGTATGGCTAGGAGGGAGGAAAATGAAGTCACTGTGACCACCATAGGATGAGAGTAAACAGGGGGCAGAGCCTGCGAAAAGAATGGCAGGGACAGTGGTGAGGCCATAGGTGGGAGTTGTGGCTTACATCCCCAGCCAGCTTTGCCTCTGACCAACTTGCTGAGTGACCTGCATCTAGCTCCTTCCCCTCTCTGGGCCTTTGCTGATCCCCATACAAATAGGAGCCAGCTTTCTGTGCTCCCAAGGGGCCTTTTGAGGAGCAGGGTATTGCATTAGAGCCGTTGGAAGAGGGTGTTGTGAGGACATTGATGAGAGAGCAGGAGGACAGGGCCAGGACACATTGGACTCAGTGGCTATGTCTGTTGGTCCTAAGGGCTTTCTCTACCCACCCCACTTTCTCCACAGGTTCAGGGCCTGGGCCCCACCTTTAAGCTCACACTTCACCTGCAGAACACCTCAACAGCCCGACCCATCCTGGGGCTACTGGTCTGCTTCCTGTACAACGAGGTGCTCTACGCCCTGCCCCGGGCCTTCTTCAAGGTACTGGGCCCACTTCACTGAGACATGGGGTGAGAAAGACCAGGCCAGGGTTTGGTCTCTGTGATGTTCAGAGCCAGAACAGATCAGCGGTGAGGGAGCTGGCAGGTGGCTGGCACATGGCAAGGACCTCTGGGGAGAATGCACATGACCTGCCTCAGCTGCTTTTCTCCTAGCCTGAGAGAGGTCTCGGGGAGCCACACAGAAGGTTCTGGGAGAACAGCAAGAGTCTGGTTCCCACCTTGCCCCTCTTAGAAGCCTGTTGGTGCCGGGATCCCAGAGTCCATCCTACCTCGCAGCCATGCCTGTGTTGGGAGTGGAGCTTCCTTCTGCCCTGAGGAGAATTTTCCACAGTGAAGGACTTGTTTCCCCCCAGGTCCAGATTTGATCCTAAGTTGGGAAGACCAGAAACTGAGAAAGACCCTGGGACTTGGTTGGGAGTCAGGAGTTCTGGGTTTAATCCTGGACATATATGGGGTCCTAGAATGTCTACTCCCCTCAATGAATCTGTATGCTCTGTGAATGGGCCTGTCAGCCCTGCCCACCCTACTAGGGTACACTGATTGCAGCTTCTTCTTCTTCTTCTTCTTTTTTTTTTTTATTGCAGCCTCTAAAGCAGGCATGAGAGTGCTCTGGAATCTGCCAAACACTGTCCAGGCACGAAGGCTGATTTCCTACCTCTTTGTCCCTAAACTTAGGTCCCCTTGCTGGTGCCAGGACTCAACTACCCCCTGGAGACCTTTGTAGAGAGTCTCAGTGACAAGGGCATCTCAGACATTATCAAGGTAGGTCGCCCACTGGTACTACATGGGGAGGACAGTGAGAGTGAGGTGGGCAAGGCCCTTAGGTGGCTTCCAGGTCAGGTTGGGGTCTACAACTTCCCCATCCCCTCTGACAGAGCCCTGGTAGCCTGTGACTGGGAACAGTGCAGACCAGGTCAAGCTTGGTGTTTACAGGGAGCAGGGAGTAAAAGCGGCCTGCTCCTACTGCCATAGGCACTTCCTCTATAGGTGCTGGTGCTTCGTGAAGGCCAGAGTGCACCCCTGCTGAGTGCCCATATCAACATGCCCGTGAGCGAGGGGCTGGAAGCTGCTTGATCCCTGGACTGGTGTTGAAGCCCCTGCAGAATCAGGACCAGGAAGATTCAGCCCCTGAATCTTGAACTGGGCAGTCAATGGCCCGAGGCCTGTTCTCTGAGCAGCAGCATGTTGGGGCTACACTTTCGTTCTCTTGTCCTAAGTGTCTCCTTTCTAACCACCCTATCTGCTGGGTGACCAATAGAAGCAGGTCAGTGAGTACCCAGGAGGCTCAGCTCCTCACTCAGGAAATCCCAGACATTTGCCCATTGGATTCTGCTGCCCCTCCATCCTCCCCACTTATCTCCAGAAATCACACCCAGGTCCAAAGGAAGATCTCTGCAGTACTTAAGGTGAGATGAGGGGCATAGGCCCAGGCTTCTCCTTTGCTGCTTTCCTTAGGTACACTACTCCTGTGTTGCTTCAGGCCTAGGTCAGAATTGGCTATGGCCTGACCTGGGATAATCAGAGGTTTTTCTTGGGCAAGACTGGGCTCCCTGTTGCTGCCTGGGGTTCCAGAGGCTTAGCTTATGCTAGCTCAGCTTACAGGTGAAACATGTTCTGATTTTTCCTTTTGAGCTAAACTAGGGACCCCTTCTTTATACTCGGGGGGTCTAGGGAATAGCTGCCTCTTCACAGGGTGCTTTCCTGAAATTTGGGCTCAAAGAAAGTCTCAGGCCTGTGATGCACCATGAAAATTGCAAGGGAAGAACTGGTGCCAGGAAGGCATAGAGTATCCTTGCGGGGAGCTAGTGGCCCCCACCCCCACCAGGCTTCTGTAGACCACACAACTGCTGCTCCTGACTTGGATGCTCATGTCCAGAAAGAGCATCCCAGGAGAGGAAGGCTCAGTTAGAGCAGAGGTGGGACTGGAGTGCACAGGAGAGGGGTTTCTGAGGTCTTGAGAAAGTGGCACAGGAGGCGGAAGCCCAGAACTGCTCTTCTATGCCCTGGAGCCCAGATCAGTGGAAAGCACACTGGGCAGTGGTCATATAGTATGAGAAAATTAGCTGGAAAGACATTGACCAGAGGTGTTGAGTGAGGCTTACCCTTGAAGAAAGTCATATGTTTAGACCACAGGGACCAGAGACCCACAGTCCTGGCCCTCATTGTCTCCTGGAGCTCTGTCCAGTCTGCCTATTAGGCTGGTGCTAACAGGGCCACCCTGAGCCATTTGTGAACCAGGAATCCTGCTCCTTGAGGACCTATATCTGCCTCTATCTGACCAGGTGCAGCCCAGCACATGACAGGTATCTCAGGCTTGTGGGAAGTTACCAAATCCTTCTGGCTAGTTTCCCCACATGTAAAATGAGACAGTGTGACCGGATTCAGCTCTAGCATCCTGTGATCTTGGCCACCATTTTAGAGGAAATGAAGAGTCACCTCCAGAAAGGGGATATTTGACAGGAGTAACCACCGAGCTTTTCCCTTTGATACCAAGGGCCCAAAATCTAACTGCCCATGGCCAGGCAAAAGCCTGTATGTCCAGGACACCAGTGAGGGACTGAGGTGACACAGCTCACAGCCCACCCTCCTAACCCTTCCAAGGAATGCATTCTGGGGCCAGGTTAAAAGTAGCATGGGGGGTCATGCATGGGCAGCTCAATTGATTGAGCATCTACTCTTGATCTCAGCTCAGGTCTTGATCTCAGGATAGTGAATTCAAGCTCTTTGTTGGGCTCCATGCTGGGTGTGGAACCTACTTAAAGAGAAGCATCAGGTCTGGACCAAAGAAAGAGTCCATCCCCCTCTGTGTACAGTCCGACTACTCGCAGGCATAGATCAATTGGATCAGAATGGTGTAGGGTCTAATGCAAGCGAAGTGAGGCACAGTTGGAACAACAAGCAGGAGGTTTAACCTAGAAATGGAAAGATAAATACAGAGAATATCAGTCAGTCAGAGATTTCAACTTAACCTAAGAATTTCCTAAGAGAGCTTATCAGAGATGGAAAGGCCTGCCTTAGAAGGTAAAAAACCCCTTGTCACTGGAGCTGCGTCACGGGGGTTGGGCTTTTTGCAAGGTTGTGTCCTGGGCCACATGACCATAGAATCCCTTGTATCCCAATCAAGTGATGACTGTGTGAACTTGGAACAAAAAGTCTGATCTGGATTCTGTAGCTATTCATAATGATGAAAGTGGAGAAACTTCCTATGCCCAGCACCTAAGGAGAGTTTGTATGCTGTAATACTACATACCTATGTGAACTGCATTGATGTACACAAGTGTACATAAAGCAATATGAAACCAGGGACAGTGCATGGTACCCAGCGCCCTCACTAGTTAGAGCTCCAGGAGATTGTGGACATTAGGGAAGAGGAGAGTTGGTATCTTCTTAAAACTTATTCTTTCTAAAAACACATACCTACTTAGTACTATAGAATTCATTTATTAGCAAGAAAATAGCCTTTCCACATTCCCTGGTATAGCTCCCTTGCTACATTTTCAGTTCTCTTAGCTATTATTTTTTTCAGTAATCCCTGAGTCTAATGTGGGTCTTGAACTCATGACCCCAAGATCAAGAGTCACATGCTCCACTGACTGAGCCAGCTAGGTTCCCCATTAGCTATTTATTTTTAAAACATGCTTCAGGACCCCTGGTGGCACAGTTGGTTAAGTGTCTAACTCTTGATTTTGGCTCAGGTTATGATCATAGGGTCAGGAAATCAAGCCCTGTGTCGGGCTCCACTCTGAGTGAGAAGTCTGCTTAGGATTCCTTTGCTTTCTCCCTCTGCTCCTACTCTGCCCCTGGTTCATGCTGTCTTGCTCTCACTCCCATACTCTAAGGGAAAAAAAAAAAAAAAATATATATATATATATATATATATATTATAGACATATATGCTTATACTACTATAAGCATAAGTACTATACTACTACTACTTATACTACTATATGCTATACTACTTTTGCTTGATTTATCATTCTAGACACTATCTGTTGGCTCCCTATTGTAACAGAGGAGGCTTTAGCTCTCTTGTGACAGTACCTTGCTCCCTTTTCTACCATTTTTAGGTAGATCAATACTCACTGTTTAAATTGCTATTTATAGGGATCCCTGGGTGGTGCAGCGGTTTAGCGCCTGCCTTTGGCCCAGGGCGCGATCCTGGAGACCCGGGATCGAATCCCATGTCGGGCTCCCGGTGCACGGAGCCTGCTTCTCCCTCTGCCTGTGTCTCTGCCTCTCTCTCTCTCTCTCTCTGTGTGACTATCATAAATAAAAAAAATTTTTTTAATAAATTTTTTTAAATAAATAAACAAATTGCTATTTATATTACCATGTGAAAGTTATTCACTGCAGAGTTGACAATTGGGATATAATTAAATTACTTTTTAATTTTTTTGTGGAGTTAAAATTGCCATTTTTTTTTCATTTGCTTGATTTTCTATATATACCAATTGTTAATTCTTCCCCCATTTAGTCTGACAGTTCCTTTTTTTCAGGCACTTCATTTCATCCCCTGCCTCAGTGAGTACTGTTTGCTCCCTAGAACTGCTGCAGAGCATTTTTCCTGACTAGATCCTCTGATTCCTAGGCTCCATATCTTCATCTTTCTTTCTTTTTTTTAAATTTATTTTTATCTTTTTTAAAGATTTTACTCATTTATTCATGAGAGAGACAGAGAGAGAGAGCGAGAGGCAGAGACACAGGCAGAGGGAGAGGCAGGCTCCACCCAAGGAGCCCCACATGGGACTCCATCCCCAGTCTCCAGGATCAGGCCCTGGCCCGAAGGCGGCACTAAACCGCCGAGCCACCCGGGCTGCCCTTTTTTTTTTCTTTAAGATTTTATTTATTTATTCATGAGAGACACAGAGAGAGAAGGCAGAGACATAGGCTGAGGAAGAAGCCGGCTCCATGTAGGGAGCCTGATGTGGGACTTGATCCCAGGACCCCGGGATCACAACCTGAGCCGAAGGCAGATGCTCAACCTCTGAGCCACCCAGGCGTTCCTATATGTTCATCTTTCATGGCTCTTTTATCCTTCATTTGGTGAAACATATCCACAAGTACCTTCTTTAAAAAGTCACTAGAGTTAAAATTTTTAAGACATTTTCTAAAAAAATTTTTATTCCATTCATATATATGTGTGATAGCAGGTCATAAAATTTGAAATTGAAAATAATTTTCATGTAAGATCAATTTTTTAAAAGATTTTATTTATTTATTAATGAGAGATACAGAGAGAGAGGCAGAGACACAGGCAGAGAGAGAGGCATGCTCCATGCAGGGAGCCTGACGTGAGACTCGATCCTGGGTCTCCAGGATCATGCCCTGGGCTGAAGGCAGGCGCCAAACTGCTGAGCCACCCAGGCATCCCTTGCAAGATCATTTTTAAGGCAGTATTTCCCTGTGTTCAGATTTTTGGTAATGCTGTTGAGAAGTTCCATGCCATTTTTGCTCCTGACCTCCTTTTTCTCTGAAGTTATAAAATGTCAGGACACGTCTTCCTGCATGTCGTTATTTGTTGTGCTGTGGGGTAGCGATGTATATTCTTAACTTGCACAAAATTTTGTTTCCTTGAGTGATTTCTTCCCATTTTCTCTGTTCTCTCTGGAATTTTCATTAAACCCAACATCTGATAAGTGGTAATTCCAAAGAGAACACAACTGATCATCTATTTTCTTCTCCTTTCATATTGTCTTCTGTACAACTTTCTTTTATATATCTATATCTATATCTATCTATATCTATCTATATCTATATATATATATATATATATATATATATATAAGGTTTTATATAAAATATAGCAGAGGGAGAAGCAGGCTGCCTGCAGGGAGCCCAATACGGGACTCAATCCCAGGACCGTGGGATCATGCCCTAAGCCAAAGCCAGACACTCAACTGCTGAGCCACCCAGGCACCTCTCTGTCCAACTTTCTGAGGGATTTTTATCTTTCAGCTCTTCTCTGGAACTGTTTTTAAAATTCCATTGTTTTAATTCTCAACTCTTTCTGTTCTCTGTTCAGTCTTTAACTGTAGTATCTTTTCTTTTTTTTTTTAATATTTATTTATTCATAAGAGACACAAAGAAAGAGGCAGAGACATAGGTAGAGGGAGAAGCAGGCTCCCTGTGGGGATCCTGATGCAGGACTCCATCCCAGGACTGTGGGACCATGATCTGAGCCAAAGGCAGATGCTCAAACACTGAGCTATCCAGCACCCCATAGTATCTTTTCAAAAACATAGTTGAGCCTAGCACACCATCAGTCAACAACTGACCTCTGTAAACTTACTTCAACAACAGAATACATATTTTTCTCAAGCTCACATGAAACAGGCACCAAAACAGACCACAGTCTGGTCCATAAATTATGCCTTAACCAATTTAAAATAATCAAAACAATACATTGCTCTCAGCTCAAATGGAATTAAATTAGAAATCACTAATAGAAGGATAGCTGGAAAATCACCAAATACTTGGAAATGAAACAACACACTTCTTTTTTTTTTTTAAATTTTTATTTATTTATGACAGTCACACACGGAGAGAGAGAGGCAGAGACACAGGCAGAGGGAGAAGCAGGCTCCATGCACCGGGAGCCCGATGTGGGATTCGATCCCGGGTCTCCAGGATCGCGCCCCGGGCCAAAGGCAGGCGCTAAACCGCTGCGCCACCCAGGGATCCCGAAACAACACACTTCTAATAACATATGAGTCAAAGAAGAAATCTCATGAAAAATTTAAAAATATTTTGAACTAAATGAAAATGAAAACACAAGAAATTTGTGGGACACAGCAAAAGTAGTGCTTAAAGAGAAATGTATAGCATTGGATGCATATTTTTGAAAAGAAGAGCAAATTAAGTCCAAAATAAGCAGGAAAAGAAGAAGAAAAGAACCAGAGCAGAAATCAATAAAATTGAAAACAGGAAATCAGTAAAGAAAGTCAACAAAACCAAAAGCTGGTTCTTAGAAATCTCATTAGAACCAGCAGGTCAGGGGATGCGAAACCGCTGTGCCACCCAGGGATCCCTGTTGTCTAGATTTTTAAAAATCTATCTATGGGGCACCTAGGTGGCTCAGTCAGTTAAGCTTTGGCCTTCAGCTCAGGTCATGATATCAGAGTCCTGGGGTCAAGACCTGAGTCAGGCTTCCTGCTCACTAGAGAGTCTGCTTCTCCCTTTCCCTCTGCCCCTTCCCCCCTACTCATGCTCACTATCTCTCAAATCTTTTTTTAAAAATAAAATCCACTGGGGATCCCTGGGTGGCTCAGCGGTTTAGTGCCTGCCTTCAGCCTAGGGTGTAATCCTGGAGTCCCGGGACCGAGTCCCACATTGGGCACCCTGCATGGGGTCTGCTTCTCCCTCTGCCTGTGTCTCTGCCTCTCTCTCTCTCTCTCTCTCTCGTGAATAAATAAATAAGATCTTTAAAAAATAATAATATCCATTTATCTTAAGAGACGAAATAATTGAAAGTAAAAATACAAATTATTAACATTCAGACTAGAAGGGAATTTAAGGGGCATCTATTTAAAAAGAAACCCACAATGAACATATCTTATGGTGAAATATCAAAATTATTTCCTCTAAGGTTAGAAACAAGTCAAGGTGGGGCACCTGGCTGCCTCAGCTTGGAAGAGCATAGGACTCTTGATCTTGGGGTCATGAGTTTAAGCCACACCACGCCGGGTGCAGAGATTACTTAAAAAAATAAAACAAGTCAAGGTGCCCACTACTTTTCCTCCACCCATACAAAGGGGGCAAGATTAAGAGGTACACAAATTTAAAAGGAAAAACAAAACCTCTTTTCATAGATTATGTGATTATAAATGCAGAAAACTCAGAAGAATTTATAAGTAAATTATTATAAGTTTCCCAGACAGGTCCAGTTGCTGGACACAAAATTTCTATTTTTTTTAATGCGTGTTTTTTTTCAAGATTTTATTTATTTGGGATCCCTGGGAGGCGCAGCGGTTTGGCGCCTGCCTTTGGCCCAGGGCACGATCCTGGAGACCCGGGATCGAATCCCATGTCGGGCTCCTGGTGCATGGAGCCTGCTTCTCCCTCTGCCTGTGTCTCTGCCTCTCTCTCTCTCTGTGACTATCATAAGTAAATAAAAATTTAAAAAAAAAATATTTTATTTATTTATTCATGAGAGACACACACAGAGAGAGAGAGAGAGAAGCAGAGACACAGGCAGAGGGAGAAGCAGGCTCCATGCAGGGAGTCCAACGTGGGACTTGATCCCGGGTCTCCAGGATCACGCCCTGGGCTGAAGGCAGCGCTAAACCACTGAGCCACCCAGGCTGCCCAAAATTTCTATTTTCATAAGCCATATACAAGTAGCATAACAATATCAACTACTTAAGAATAAATCTAACAAGGGTGGCTTAGTGGGTTAGGCATCTGACTTCAGCTCAGCTCGTGATCTCAGTCCTGGGATTGAGCCCTGTGTCCAGCTCCCCATTTGGTAAAGAGTCTGCTTGTCCCACCCCTCCATCTGCCCCTCCTCCCACTCATGCTTGTTCACTCTCTCAAATCTTAAAAAGAAGAAGAAGAAGAAGAAGAAGAAGAAGAAGAAGAAGAAGAAGAAGAAGAAGAAGAAGAAGAAGAAGAAATCTAACTAGGGGCACTTGAGTGACTTGGTTAAGCGTTCAACTGTTGATTTCAGCTCAGGTCATAACCTCAGGGTCATGAGACTGAACCCTGCTTTGGGCTCTGTGCTTAGGATTCTCTCCTTCTCCTTCTGGCCTTCCCCTCCCCACACTCGTAATCTCTCTCTCTCTCTAAAGTAATAATAATATAACCAAAAAAGGAATGATCTTTATGAGAAAAAAAATATGTAACTTTATTGAAAACATTTAATGGATACATGATGTTCATGAACCGAAAAACATAATTTGATATGAATGTTGATTTTTCCCAGACTGCTCTATAGATTCATTTGGATTTCATTCACAATCTCAAAGAGAATTTTTACTGGTGGAATTTGACAAGGGGATTCTAAAATTTGTACGGAAGAGCAAGGACCAAGAATAGATCCTAGGGAGTCATATAATAGGGGTGGACAAAATGGGAAAATAAATTGTATATTCAATGCCTCACTATACAGCAAGGAAAAGGAATACCCTACAGCTCTACATGTTAATCTGGGTAAATTTCAGGAACATAATGTGTGTAAAGGTAAGTCACAGAGGAATAAACATGGTATGATTCCATTTACATAAAATTAAAAAACATGCAAAACCAATACAAACATAGGTAATACAATTGCAAGGCAAAGCAAGGGAATGATGAAGACAGGACAGTGTTTTCTCCACTGGGGAGGGGCACAGCAGGGGTTCAAAGGAAGTGGTATCCATCCCTTAAATGGGAAGGGGGAGGAGTTTATTTTATATTTTCTTGCATCTCCTTACTATTTAATTACAAAAAAAAAAAAGCGTTCCAGAGGGTTAAAGCTGAGGAGGAAACTAGAAGTCTGCCAATGCTTATGTACAGCACAAGGTGCTAGGCACACCAAATTCCTAACAGTTAAGAACTAGTACTTCAACATGCCATTTGGGAAAACAAAAAAGTCCTAACAGCTCAAACCTTTGTGGGCATGGGCAGGGCATGTCTGAAGGATGGGCTTCTCTCAGAGTTCCTGGGTGACAAGCCTGCCATGTCACTGGATGACATTCCCCCCGACCCCCAGCAGCATCTGTAGACTTTTTCACTTAATCCAATTTTTGGTCCAGCCCCTCACCCCCACCCTCCCCAGTGCCTCTGAAACCCAAAGCTGCTTTGAACAGTCCCCACCTGTACCCCAGATGGCTAGCTGCTGGCTGCACAGGGTGGGGTGGGCCCTGTGGGGAGGGGCAACCTAGCTGCCCCTCTTCAAGACTGAATCAGTCCATGTCGGTCCCACACCTTGGTTCCATGGTGCCAGGAGAGTTCCTGAGCCTCTCCAGGGCTCTGGGAGACAGTTTGGCTGCTTTTGGCTCCTCCCTCTAGGAGTGGTTTCTAATTCTCTGCTAAAAGAGGAAATGAGCTTCCATCCACTTCCCATCTTTCAAAATGTCATCAGGCTCTTTGGTCTACTACTGTCTCCTATTTTCTTTATCTTTGTAAATTTATATGTTTTATTTCTTCACTATCATATAGATTTGAAGAGGAGACAGGTAAACCTATGTGTTTAAACCTGCCACATTGGAAATCTGTTTACTATATTTGAATAAAATGTTTAACAGGTAGCTCTTGAAGAGTCCAGAGAGGAAGAGCTTAGCCTTCTGAGCATCCTCCTTCAGATGCTTGAATATCCCTACCTGATTTCTCTGCCTCCATTTTGCATACTTTCCTCAGCTGTGTAAGGGTGAAGGAGAAAGCACAAAAATCTGGGTTCAAATCCTGACTCCTCCATTCACTGCCCTGAGATCCTATCAACTCCCATAATTGCTGCCCTTGGTACCAGATTAGCCGGAGAGAGGCACAGTGAGTGTTATGGAGATGCTTCTAACTATAAAGCACAGAATCTAGGAAAGAATGTTTCTTTTTCCCTGGATCACCTCATGCTGCCTTGGTCTGCTGGTGCCCCAGCCCCACCCCCACCAAAGCCACAGGAGGCAGATCCCTGGCCCCCGCCCCCAAGCCCTCAAGTGTTCTGTGGTTCCCATGTGTGGCAATCAGAGGGACCAGAAACCCCGAAAGATGGAGGGGATCCAAGAACCAAGTGGGCACTTTATTAACCCAGCAAAGGGGTGACTAGGCTGGCCAAGCAGCCCCTTACCAAACTGTCCTCTATACTTGGGAGTAGGGGGGCAATAGAGGCAGAGTTGCAGGACCCAAGCCCTGGACACTGGAGACCAGGTTGGGCAGGGCAAAGGCCAAGGATAGGACTGGAGTTGCTGAAAGGTAGTAAGTACCAACCCACCTCCCCTCCTGAGGCTGGGAGTGGGCCTGAAAGGAGTTAGGAGCCCCCTCTCCTGCTGCCCTCTCCCTGAACATCTCCAGCTCTTCCTGAAATCAGGAAGGCATGAGGCCCACATCAGCTGCAGTCTGGAAGGTGATCCCATCCCCAGGCAGTGGGGAGGCCAGGAAGGGCCAGAGCCAGACAAGGACCCAGCGGGGCCCCAGGGCCGCCTGCAAGTTGTGGCAAGGGCCCAGGTCATAAGAGTGCTGGCCCCGAGCCCACTCCCACGTGGTCTGGCCCCGCAACAGCAGCATCCCATGGAAGAGCAGCCCAGCCCCACATAACAGTGCACCTGCCACGCATGTATCGGTCACAAAGGCCAAGGCAAACTGCGCCAGAGACACTCTGCCTGCAAGGAGAAAGTAAAAGGATCAGGGGGCGGAAGGGGGCCCAGCCCTCCCAAAGCCCAGCTCCTGCCCTTCTTCCACTTCCTACCCTCCACCACCAAGCAGGGCTCATTCCTCTGCTCAGCAAATGCTGAATGGCTACTCCCCGGCCAGCCCATGCTGGTGCCCCAGACAGACACAGTCCCCCATCCATCCAACTTCCGTTCATCACAAACTAGGAGTACCTCCCATTGCTAGACACAGCAGGCACCAGGATGAAGGACAGACAGCAGCTCTGACCTCAGGGAGCTAACAGATATTTCAGAGATCACTTCTCAGTTACTTAATTACAGATGTGATTGGTTACAATGGAAAAGTACAGCACCTTCTGGCCCCTGATAGGTACTAAGTATCTGCTGAACTAATGAACTATAGGATGCCATGAAACATTCTGCTCAGTGAAAGAAGCCAGACGTGAAAGTAACAAATTATCAAAGTGACATATTATAAGATGCCATTTATGTGAGATGTCCCAAACAGGCAAATCCATAGACAGTAGATGAGTGGTCACCAGGGGCTGGGGGGACTCTAGGAGGGAAGGGAAGTGACCGCTCAATGGGTACAGGGTTTCTTTTGGAGGCTATGGAAATGTTCTGGAATTAGTGGTAATGGTTCACCACATTATGAATGTACTAAATGCCACTGAATGATCTACTGGGAGGGTTTTTTTTTTTTTTAATTTGTTCATGAGAGAGTTAGAGACACAGGCAGAGGGAGAAGCAGGCTCCATGCAGGAAGCCTGATGTGGGACTTGATCCCGGGACCCCAGGATCACACCCTGGGTAGAAGGCAGGTGCTAAACTGCTGAGCCACCCAGGGATCCCCTGGGAGGTGGTTTATTTATTTTTTAAAAAATTTCATTTATTTATTCATGAGAGACACACAGAGAGAGAGAGAGAGAGGCAGAGACACAGGCAGAGGGAGAAGTAGGCTCCATGCAGGGAGCCTGATGTGGGACTCGATCCCGGGTCTCCAGGATCACGCCCTGGGCCGAAGGCAGACGCTCAACCTCTGAGCCACCCAGGCGTCCCTGGAAGGTGGTTTTATATTAATTACATGTTATATGAATTCTACTTCATTAAAAAAAGACAGGCTATGTGGGGAAATGCCAAGCTGCCTTATTAGAAGCTCAGGGAAGTGGATTTCATTTGTTTTAATTAAGTAACATCTTGGGTGGTGTCTGAAGGAGGTATTTGCTAGGTAAAGAGGGGAAAAAACATTCTATTTGAAGGTCCTGAGGCAGGATGGAGGGGTGCCTGTGAGATGAGTATATGGATGGTTCTGGAAGTTCAGGAGAGAAGCCCAGGCTGGACATGCAGATCTGCAGGTGGCTGGCAAAGAGGGAGTTCCAAGACCCACCAGAGGCCAGAGTTAGAGTGAGATGGGAACAGTGCCACTACCTCAGCATCAGGAGACCAGGTCCCTTGGGACCTGATCAAGAAGAGAGAGGGAAACCATAAAAGGAAGGAGGAAACCAGCAGTGCGAGCTGTTGGAGACGCCCAGGGTACAGCCCTTCCAGGAGGAGGGAGGCTAGCAGTCTTATGAGGCAGAAAGGTCTCGTGAAGCAAAGAGAACTCAGAGGGGTCCTCCTGGCTTTGTGGGGACCGAGGCATTCTCAGGAGGGGGCGGGGGGTTGAAGCCAGTTTGGAGCAGGTAGAGGAAGGAATGGGAAGTGAGGAAAAGCACCTATGAGCCCGGGGAAGTCCTCCAAGGAGCCTAGCTGCTAGCAGAAGAGCCAGGAGGCAAGAGCTAGGGAGGAGGAGGACATGGGGTAAAGAGAGGGTTTGTATAGGTAGGAAAACCAAAAGAAAGCCAGCGGAGGGACACTGGGTTGGCAGGAAGAGAAGCAGGCCACAGTGAGGCTTCCAAGTGGGGAGGAAGGCCAGACAACAGGGGAAGCCAGAGACAGTGAGCCTGGCTTCCAGATATGAAGACAGGACAATTCTGGACATAACTGACATGTCATTTTCTCCGTGATGGATTTCACGAGAGGTGGGGGCTTAGAAAACAGGAGAGTGGGATGGTTGGAGCCACAGTCATGAGGGGGGCAAGCTTTTGAGAAACCACAATGGCAAGGCATGACTGAGGGCCTGTTGGGGTCAGTAGCCATGAATGTGACATGGGACCAACTGCCACAAATTACCAGCCCTTAGCAACCAGGGGCAGATACAGAGAAGACAGGTAGACAGAGCCAAGAAGGGTGAGATGTTGGCAGGAGAATGGTGGAAATGAGGATTCTAAGCTGGATGTGGGGGAAATGAAGAGGGAAAGTGTTGGGAGACAGACGAGGGCCAGGAGCTCTCATACTCTCCTAGAGTATGAGAGTGAGAGCTGGCTGGAAGGAGGGGAGGTGGGCAACAGAAAAAGGGGTGACCAGCTCATGGCATGATTCAGGAGGTGACACACTTTGACCTCTGACAAGGTAAAGGGTGGATGTGGGTGTAGGTGATAGAAGTCAAATGGAGGAAGTCTAGAAGCTGAGCAACTGGGGCAGTGAGTGGGCCATTCACCCAGACTTCCAGGCACCCATGATTTCAACATGGCCCAGGACTTGAGAAATGAATGGCCACAGAGGGATGGGTTGCAGGGAGGTGCAGTTGGAGGGCTTGCGTTTCAGTGGAAGCAGGGGCTCATCAAGGAGGCAAAGGAGCCAGTGTGGTCAGAGGAAGACACTGACAACCCACTGGGCCTCCCAAGGCCTCCCCCCTCCACACCTCCAGGCTGCAGGGATAGTCAGGCTTAGATAGGATAAGGAGACACTGACTGACTATTCAGAGTGGTCAGAGAGTTTAGTAACCGAAGGACAAGTTTACAGAGGGGCCCTTGGAGGGGTCAGGAGGAAGGAGTCAGGGGAAAGAAAGCCCAAAGCATTTCAAGCATTTCAAAGAGTATAAAAACAAAACAAAACAGTAGGGCTTTTGGGGAGGTGAGGGTGTCAGAAGAGGAATAAATGTGTCATCCAGAACACAGCCTCTCAATCAGCCTCCTGATCCATGTCCTCCCGTCCCAACTTCCAAAGACTGGAGCTTCCTCTGCCTAGAACTTTCACTGGCTCCCTGCTGTCCAGTCACGTTAGGGCTACACCAGCATTTAGGGTCTCCACCATCCAATCTGAACCTACTCCTTGCCCAACCTCCACGCCTTTGCTTAGGCTGCTCCCCTCACTTAGAATGCACCCTCATTTAGAATACTCCCTCCTCACTCCCAATCACACCACCCCCAACTCCCACTAGTCTTTCCTTCTCAGCCAATCCTGATTCTCCTATCCAGAACTCTGCACCTGTGTCAAGGCCTTGTATTTTATTGTCCTGCACACCCAGTTCAATCCTAGGCTGCCCTCCCCCCCACCCCTCGCCATAAATGACATTGGAACTGGGTCCCCAGGCCATTACCAGGAGAACCAGCCGGAAATTCCATCCCCCACCAGAATGGCCCACGACAAGGGCCTCTGCCTCTGTGGATGCCTCCCAAGCTCCCCACCTGTGAGCAGCATGAGCCAGGGCAGCAGGAGGAGGGCTGCGGTGTGGAGGGGCGCGTGGGCTCGCAGGAGGGCTGACAGGGCAGGGCCCAGCAGCACAGAGATGTGGAGCAGGACGCCCGCAGCATGAAGCAACAGGCACAGGAAGGGCCGGTAGTTGTGGAATCCCACACAGCGGCCCAGCAGGCGGCAGTGGTGATCCCGACGAAGGATGCAGACACGGCAGGCAGAGCAATGCCCACTGCGTGGTGGCACCTGGCTTTGGCACTGGTAGCAGTAACTGCAGGGAAGCAACCACAGCGTCAGTTCCACCAGCAGCTCTGAGTGCCCCTTCTCCTACCCAGTTGGCCTCTGAACCCATCCCAGGGAAGCAGGCACGACCACTGCCCTAATAAGCCTCAAATTCATCATACATAAATGCAGGACGAATTGTTCTAGCACTGCAGGTCCGAGGGCTCTTGCAGCTCAGACATCCCAATCCTAAGCCTTTCTCCGGCCTCTAACATCCAGGAGCAAACCTCTCACTTGCTCCATGGTCACCACATTGGTCCAAGTCACCATGAACTCTCTCCCCTGGATACTGCATCAGATTTTAACTATTCTCCCTGATTCCAGCTTTGGTTCCTCCTGGTATAGTCTCACCCCAGCAGCCAGACTGATCCTTAAAAATCTAAGTTGTGCCCTCCTCTACTCCAAACCCTACAATGGCTGTCCACCTCACTGCCAGTAAAAAGCAAAGCTTTCAATGTCCTACAAGGTCTATCTCTAACCTCTCTCTTCCCCCCCTCTCACTCCACACCAGCCACACTGGCCTTGCTGTTTCTGGAACACACAAGACACATAACTGCTTCAGAGTCTTTGCACTATCTGTTCCCCCTACCTGGAATGCTCTCCCCCAGATTCCCACCTGGCTAACTCCTCCACCTCCTTAAATTCTTTGCTCAAATGCCTACCTTGACTACCATATTTAAGACTGCAATCTGCACAGCTTTTACCCTGCTCTACTTTTTGTTTCCATACCACCACCTAACAGTCTATATTATTTCCTTATTTACTATGCCTATAGCTTATCATCTGCCCCCTCCCCCACTAAAATAAGCTCCAGGAGGTCAGGAATCCACTTTTCTGTACCTCCAGTGGCCGGAACAGTACCTTGTACGTAGTAGGTGCTCATGAACTATTTGTAAGTGAATGAATGATATTTCTTCTGGATCTACCATCCCAGGCTATAGAAGAGTGTTCTGGCTCTAACAAGCGGATCCTATTGTGATCTGGTTTTAACATCTTCTGGTCCTAGGGGCACCTACCCCTGTCCAAGGTTCCTACGTCCCCCGCTTCCATCCCCCAGATACCGCGCCCCACTCACGCCCAGCCCTGGCCCAGACCGCGGCCGGCCAGCATCACGCCCCGGATGCTGGGGTCCGAGCGCAGGAAGAGCCCCACGTTGCCCAGCAGGTTGAGCAGCTGGAAGGCGGCCAGCACTAACTGCAAGGCCCGAGCCAGGGGTCCCAGCGGGGGCGGCCCGGGACCCAGAACCAGCACATAGGCCAGCTCCAGGCCCACAGCCGCGGCCCACAGCGCGGTGAGCACGAGAGGCAGCCGCGCGGGCGCCCCCTCCGCGCTCCCTACCGCCCAGGGCTGCCCCATGGCCCGGACCCACCGGCTGTCGGACCCTGAGTACCCCGCCGCTTCCGCAATGGGGCGGGGATAGTGGCAGACGGACGTCCGCTACGCCCAATAGAAGCTCGGAAGGGAGTTAGGCGTCACCGGGAGCAGCCCACAGATGCGGACATGTGATTGGGCGGCCACAGGAGCCTTGGAGAAGCTTGAAATCCCATTGGCGCTGGAGCCGGGTAAGGCAACGCATTGTAGTCACGCCCACCCGCGGTGCCCCGCCCCTCCAGCAGAAGCCCCGCCCTCTGGCCGCGCTGGATGGTTTGGAGGATTGAGTTGCAGTCTCGGTGGCGTTGGGGTTTCCCGGCTCAGCACATTCCCCCTCAGCCCCCAGCCGCCCCGATATTAATAGCTCTGCATCATCTCATCCAGCTGGCCTGGAACCCCTTTCCATGCTCGAATGTCTCCATCACCCCAGAAAACATTCAAACATGTCGCCGCCTCGGTGTTTCTGACTGTGAAATGGGGATAGGGCTCTCTGTTTCCCACCAGCGCGACGCAGGCAGAGGGTCAGGAGGAGGCCTAAGAGGCAGCTTGTAGCGGTCAACAGTCACTATTATTATCGTCATCTCCGTTGTACTCATGAGGAAACAGAGAGGGGCCGTGGCTTTCCCATGGTCACACAGCACCCAAGAGGCGGAGCCGGAACGGGAACCCCGAATCTCCGCTATGGGATCCACCCGGCGCCCCCAAATCCTTCAGTCCCCTGGTCTCAGGGCAACCTCTTGCCTGGTCCCTACCCGAACGCCCTCGCCCCCATCCGGCCCCACCCACCTCCCCCATATTTAGCGCGAATCCGATCCGGGGCTGGGCCGGGCGCTACTTAACGCGGCCCGGGTGTTCTGGAGAGCGCGGAGCGGAGCGGAGCCAGGAGCCCCAGCAAGATGATGATGGTTATGCAGCCCGAGGGCCTGGGGGTCGGGGAGGGGCCCTTCGTGGGCGGCAGCGGGGGCGGCGAGTACATGGAACAGGAGGAAGACTGGGACCGCGACCTACTGCTCGACCCGGCCTGGGAGAAGCAGCAGCGGAAAGTGAGTGCTCACCCATTTTCAGATGGCAAAACTGAGTCCTGGGAACCCGAGCTGTTTGTCCTTGGCATCTCAGCACGTTGCGGGCAGAGCCCGTTTTGACCCAGAGTTCCACTACCTAGTCGGGGCTCTGCCCACCAGTCCTCCACTGTCTCCCAGAGCTGGAAGAGAGGGCTGGGAGAACTCGTGAGGGGTTGAGGATAACAGGAGAGTTTCTGGGGTCCCTGCCCCCCTTCATCACCCTGGGCCCACTGCCCCACTTCTGCTAGCAAAAGGGATTGGGTGAAGCCCAGGAGATACAAGTTTGGGGAGTGTGGGGAAAAGAATCTTTCTCCCCAGACGCCTCGACTCTCTTAAATATCCCAGATCCCACCCTAAGGACTTCCAGCTGGCAACTACTGGACTTGGGTATGTGCAGGAGGAGACAACCCTCTCAGACCCTCCCTACTTTCTCCTCTCTGTTCTCCCCACCCTGGGGTTCATTGCCACACCATCCCAATTGTCAAATGAGGAAACTGAGGCCCAGAAAAGAACAGAGATAGGATCCAAATCATATACTGTCAGAAAACAGGATCCCCCCCCACCTGAGGGTCTTTGCCCCCTGCTTGCCCCTGCCCCCTGCTTGCCCCACCCCTACTCCTTCCCAAGATACCCCTCCCCACCCCAGGGGCCCTAAATCTGCTAAAAAGGTCACAAGGTCAAGAAAGAGGGGAGCCTGAGTCCCCTTACAGAGTAACCTGACTCTCTGGCCAGATGGACACTTTGTGCTGAGGCAGCGCCTTGGGGGAGCTGGCATGGGGCACATGAGCAGCTGCTGCCCAGACCCAGCCTTGTAGGGCACTCAGGCCCCCTCCCTGATCTATTTTCACTCCCAGACTTTCCCAAGTGGAGGGGGCAGGACACCTGGGTTCCCAAAAGAGAAGATGATCCGGTCTGGAGTGAGGAGACTTTGAGGAGTGGCAGGCCAGGGAGAGGGAGGACACCATGAATTTATTGGACCCTGCTGAGCATTTGCCAACAGTATGTGACTCCAGGAAAGGGCAGGGAACAGGAGTGCTTGGTAGAATTTGCAGGATCTGAGAATCCTAGGATTTAGAATCAGAGCACTTCTGCAGGGTTAGATGACAGGAGATGACCCCAGAGTCCAGGAGGCTCAGCTGACTAGGTCCGGGTGACACGCCTCCCCTCTGGATCCTCCTGCACCTGTCTCCAAGCAGGGCTGCGGTCCTTGGGTCTGGCAGTCTCCTGGTGATGTCATCCCTGCCCCTTGCTCCAGCTGCCATCTGTTCTGTGACAATTCCTACCCCCACTCCACCCACCAGATTTCTCTCAGATCCAGGTCCACATGCCCTTCATAAGACACATGTTAGTCTGTAACTTGCCTTCCTCATTCAATAAAATATCAGGAATACCCTTCCATCCCAGCCTACAGCCTCCCACTTCATCCATTCATTCAACGGTTGCGCAACGTAGATGCTCTGTAAATTAAGCAGCATCCCTGGAAGTTGGCCGTTCCAGAGTTTCTTTCTCCTCCAACCCAAGCATCTCTGTACTCAACTCAGCCCCGTCCTACCCCTGCCTACCCCTTCCCTACCCCTGTGTCTTGGAGCACTCCTTCCTGCTCCTGCCTGATGCCTGAGTCCTCTTCGTTCAACTTCATTCAAGAACATTCATTCAGTATATCTTAGGGAGGTCCTACCCCGGGCCAGGCACTGTGTTAGGTGACAGGACTTTAGCAGGAAACAAAATAAAGCCTCTGCCTCAGGAAGCTTACACTTCAGCAAGGAAGAGTGTTTCTAGCCTCTGGCCTTACCCCATTCCCCTTCCTGACACCCTTTCCCCCTCCCCCCCATTCCAGTTGCCAGCTTCTCATTTCTCTCTTCTGCTCTGCCAAGCTGTTTGCCTCCACTCTGCCAACAGAAAGAGCTTTCTAAAACACAGTTCTGCCCAAACACAGTTCTGCCCGCTTCCCTCTGCCCAGAAGCTTCCCTGATTCCCTGTTGCCCTCAGGATCAAGTTGAAATTCCCTGGCTTAGCACCCAAGATCATGCATGACCTGGCCCCTGCGGCCCCTCCGGCCCGCCTCTCACCACTTATACCTCAACACCCCCAGCTTCATTCCAGTGGCACCCAGATAGCTGTAACCCCACAAACCTAGCAACTGTTTCTCACTGCTGAGTACTTGCCTGCGTGGCCGCCTCTGCCTGAAATGCCCTTGCCTGCCCTTCTCTGCATAATTCCTGGTCTTTCATTGTAGCTCAGATCAAATATTAGCCTTCCCCAAGAGATCGCCCACATGATTTGAAGAACACTTTCCTTCTTTTCCCTGACACTAGTCTCCCCTAGCACTTCTCAAACCAACACGACTCTTTGATCAGCTGTGAGCTCCTTTAGGGCAGGGATCACATTTCATTAAGTCATGTTTGTCAGATGAAAGAATGCCCTTTCCTCTACCATGGGAGCCCCACCCAGTCCTGCATTTCCCCCTGCTTTATCTTACACCCAGAGCATCTCAGACTCCATGGTTGGAGAGAACTACAGAGACTAACTGCCTTCTCCTGGGCTTGGGGCCCATCAAGTAGTGTGCTCAGCACTCACTTATATACCTCCAGTGACAGGAAGCTCACTCCCTTTCCTTATGACAGTCCCTTGAGTATTTAAAGCATCATCTTTCTTTTTTTAAGATTCCATTTATTTATTCATGAGACACACACACACACACACACACACACACAGAGAGAGAGAGAGAGAGGCAGAGACACAGACAGAGGGAGAAGCAGGCTCCATGAAGGGAGCCTGATGTGGGACTTGATCCCGGGACTCCAGGATCACACCCTGGGCCGAAGGCAGGCGCTAAACTGCTGAGCCACCCAGGGATCCCCCTAAAGCATCACCTTTCAAGTCAACCTTCTAGGGCAGCTGAAAAGCTGGTTGAGGGAAATAATTCTAAAAGACTTCCAGGGCCATCTCCCAGGATTAATTTCTTTGTTGGGGGGGAGTGCTCCGAATTCTAGAATCCTACCAAATCAGAGGAAGAAGGACATGGGACATCATGAAATCTGGCCAGTTAATTGTACAGATGGGGAGACTGAGCACAAGGAAGGGCAAAGGGTATGCTCCAGGTCACAGAGTGAGTAGTATAGACTCTATCAAGGACTCTACAGCTGATGGGCTTGAAGGCTTGGCGGATTAGTGGAACTTGCGTACCAGGCTGCAGGTCACCTCCTGCATTCCCAGTAATCACAGAGCTGCATAGCAGCCCTCCCATCCCAGATGGAGGCTGAGGCTGGAGCTGCCTCTAGGGAGAGGGAAAGGGTAGTCACCTCCAGGACCTAGGTCAGCCTGGTCCTTGTGCCCAGCTGGTCCCTCGCGACTGGCAAAGCTCTTGTACCCTCGCGTTCTACTTGGAGGCCAATTCACAATAGCCCTGGGATGTCAGTGGGGCTGAGATGACAGTAACACTGGTGCACAGTCCAGAATTTTTCAGGTTTTAGAAGGGTGCAGTCACCCTGCATTGGCCCTTGTGTGTCAGAGGGTCCCACACTTTGGAGCATACACTTTGCAATTTTCCAAATCCCCCTCCAGTACTTGAGACTGGCCAAAGCTGACATGCCCCAAGTTCCAACTGGGGCTGGTGTGGGCCCTAGAGCCCATTTTTTCTTCTCCAGGAGAACGAAAGTTCAGAGAGAAAAAGGGACTGGTCCTGGATGCAGAGCAAGCCAGTGGCTGGGGCCTGGGGTCTGATGTCCCTATTGTCCCCCAGACCTAGTGCTAGGGTCTGAGTGCTGTTCTCTGCCCTCCAGACCTTCACTGCCTGGTGCAACTCACACCTGCGCAAGGCTGGCACCCAGATTGAAAACATAGAGGAGGATTTCCGCAATGGCCTCAAACTCATGTTGCTCTTGGAGGTCATTTCAGGTGAGGAGGGCAAATCAATGCACAGGGACCCCAGGACCTAGGGGAATCCAGAGAGCTAGGGGGAACATGACAGTCGGGTGCTGGAGGGGACATGGTGGGGGAGTGGGAAGTTTGAGGACAATGTCTTCAGCTTCTTCTTGTGACCTTTGACCCTTGACCTCTCCTTTTACACCCAGGAGAGAGGCTACCCAGGCCAGACAAAGGCAAGATGCGCTTCCACAAAATTGCCAATGTCAACAAGGCCCTGGACTTCATTGCCAGCAAGGGGGTTAAGCTGGTGTCCATTGGTGCTGAAGGTGAGGAAGTGGCAGGAAGAGGCCTGGGAGGGGCTTGGAGGGTGGTCCTGATGTCAGCAAGTCACTTCTGGGACCCTATCTTTTCAATTGTGGGGTTACCCATCCATGCTTCATGGGAGGGAGCGTTAAGGGGCAAATGAACCTGAAGTGCTGGCACAGGACCCAGCACTGGTAGGTGTTCCATGATTGAACACTTACTGGGTACCAGCTCTGGCATGGGAGACAAGGGCCAAAGAATGGAGCAGGGAGGAAGGCAACTGAGGCAGTATAGGCCTTGAATGCCAGATGGAATCTGTCCGCATTCCCCACCCTACAGAGATTGTTGACGGTAACCTGAAGATGACCCTGGGCATGATCTGGACCATCATCCTTCGTTTTGCTATCCAGGACATCTCTGTGGAGGGTAAGTGATGAGGAAGCCCGTAGGGTGAGAGGGCCCAGACCCCTCCCCAGCTAACACTTTTCCCCATCTCCACCCAGAAACCTCTGCCAAGGAAGGCTTGCTCCTGTGGTGCCAGCGGAAGACAGCTCCGTACCGCAACGTCAACGTGCAAAACTTCCATACCAGGTCTGTCAGCCGGTCAGCACAGCACTCGGGCTTCTACTGGGCTCTGGGGCACAGAGCAGGCCCTGCCACAAACCCCGGGAGTGGGGCCACCACAGCCAAGTTCCCGGAACAGTGTCTGAAAGGAGGAGGGCTCAGTCGATGTTGAATCGAGTCCAAGAGGGTGAGGGAGGATCCCTGAGGGAGTGCATTGGAGACCTCCCTGGAGTGGCATTCCAGCCAGAGGGACCCTTGTGAGCAAAAACCTAGAGGCCAGAACCATCCAGACACTGGTGTGGCCCAAGGACAGGGTATATGAAGGAATCATGGTGAGCTTGAAGGAGGTGGTCCAAATCTGGTAATGAAGGGCCTCCGATGCCAAGCCAAGGAGTTTAGACTACTCCATTTTACTGTCCTGATGGGGATGCTCCTGGAGGGAGGGTAGGACAGAGCCTCAGCTTGAATCCAGGCCTGACTCCCCTTCTCTCTGTCCAGCTGGAAGGATGGTTTGGCCCTCTGTGCTCTCATCCACCGACACCGCCCCGATCTCATCGATTATGCCAAACTACGCAAGGTAGGCCTCTGCCGCCTCCGAGCCCCAACTCCTCAACCTTGGCCCTCAGCTGACATTTCACCTCCCCTGCTCCCACCCACCTAGGATGACCCCATTGGCAATCTAAACACGGCCTTCGAGGTTGCAGAGAAATACTTGGACATCCCTAGGATGTTGGATGCAGAAGGTGAGAGGGAGCCCCACACAGGCGAGGACTCTGCTCATTGACTAGAAACATGGTCCAATCTTCACCCCTTTGCCCCCTGCTCTTCCCTCCCCTGGAATGCTCTCCCCCTCAGCCCACCCTCTAGTAAAACTCCTTCCTGTCCCAGGCCCCCATCTCCAGCAGCCCTCTATCCTGCCCCCCTGCCTCTCCTGTCTCTCTCCTAATGGCACCACCCTCTGCCTCACATCTCAGTTATACTAGGGGCACCTGGGAGCATAGGAGCTCCTTGGGGGCAGGTCATGCCTTTTGCCCCTTTGGCCGAGCAAGGCTTTAGTGAGTTGAGGCAGCAAACATTTTCTGAGTACTTGGATGTGTGGGTACCAATGGATGAGGAGAACTTGGGGGAAAGACAGATAGATGGCCCCAGAGTGATGGGATGTTAGACACACCAGGCACTGTGCTTCTCGGGAGCTGTAGAGTCTGCTCCCACACCTGCTCCCTCACGCTTTTTTCACCCCATACAGGACAGTTACTGGGCCCTAGGGTGATCAGAGAGGGCTTCAGGGAAGAGGCAGACACTGGATTTGGGGTAGCTGGCAGCTGGTGGCTGTGACTAGGTGTCTCTACCCCTCCCGTCTCAAGGGAGCTCTCTACCTGGTTAGGGGCATGAGTCTGTTCCCCAAGCCTGGCTTTGGCCAATAGCCAATAAATACCTCACTGCTGTCCCCTAGACATCGTGAACACCCCAAAGCCTGATGAAAAGGCCATCATGACCTATGTTTCCTGCTTCTACCATGCCTTTGCTGGGGCCGAGCAGGTAGGGGGTCCCCGCTGCTGCTGCCCGAGCTGGGTTTGTGGACCAAGGGACCTAACCCTGGCAGCATCCTCACATTTGGAGGTGCTGGCCCCCCGTTGGGTGGGAATGCCACTGTCCCATCTGCATATCCTCAGTCTCTGGGGAATTCAGGAGCAGAGGCATCTGGCCTGGAAGCTCCCTCCTCATCCAAAAAGATGTGCTCCCCTACTTGCCTGGACCCAGGTTTTAAGGGCTTTACAGAGGAAGGCTGAGTTGGGGTGTCTGCAGCAGTTCGTTCTAGTGCCCACTTTCTTCAACTCCAATGATAGGCAGAGACAGCTGCCAACAGGATCTGCAAGGTGCTGGCTGTGAACCAGGAGAACGAGAAGCTGATGGAGGAGTACGAGAAGCTTGCCAGTGAGGTGAGACTGAAGCCTCCCATACCTGTGCTCTCCTGACCCTGGCTAGCCCAGGCCTGGGCCTGCAGAGCTCCCCTCACCTTAGAGGGGCCTTGGCCTCCTCCCACCTCCTCCTCCCATCTTCACTCATCTCCTGCCCCTTCTGCCTGTCCAGGCTCCTGGTTGTTCATGGATCCACTCACCATTCATTCATCCACTCATCCTTTATCCATTCACCCATATTTAGAGCAGTCACATGGCTTTTGCATTGCGCCAGCCTTCACAGGCCCCTGGACTAGGACATTTACTACCCTACTCCTTCCCTGATGAGTGGGGACCCATATTCTGCTTGACGCCTGGCCTTCTGGCCACAGCCCCAGTATGGGTAGAAAGGGGTAGGTGGGGTGAGCAGGCCAGCTCAGAACTCTCTGCACTGTACCTGCCTGCCTTGGCAGCTGCTGGAATGGATCCGTCGCACCATACCATGGCTGGAGAACCGTGTGGGCGAGCCCAGCATGAGTGCCATGCAGCGCAAGCTGGAGGACTTTCGGGACTACCGGCGCCTGCATAAGCCACCCCGAGTGCAGGAGAAGTGCCAGCTGGAGATCAATTTCAATACACTGCAGACCAAGCTGCGGCTGAGCCACCGGCCCGCCTTCATGCCCTCCGAGGGCAAGCTCGTCTCGGTGAGCCAGGCCAGGGGTAGAGTGACCCCTGCTCTGCCCACATCCTCTAGGTGACATTGGCCCCATCTGTACAATGGGCAAACCCTGATGGAGGGCACCTCTGCCTGCCCCACAGGATATTGCCAATGCATGGCGTGGGCTGGAGCAAGTAGAGAAGGGCTATGAGGACTGGCTGCTCTCAGAGATCCGGCGCCTGCAGCGGCTCCAGCACCTGGCTGAGAAATTCCAGCAGAAAGCCTCCTTGCATGAAGCCTGGACCCGGGGTAGGAACACCTCATGGACTTGAGTCTGTCCTGAGGTATGGGTGCGTGGAGGGGAGTGTCCTGGCGGAATGTACAGGGTCAGGAGAAGTGTTCTGCCAGGAAGGTAGTGACTCGTTTTCTAGACCCACTCTGACTTTCTGTGCAACCAAGTCACTGCTCCTTTTTGGGCCAGTTTCTTCATCTGTAAACCTGAGCCCCTGTCTCCTGGCTCTGGCCTTCTGTAGCTCAGCTCTGATTAATCTGTCATTTATTTGTACCTATAGCAGGTGGGTCCCCAAGCCTAACAGCAGGAACGTTAGGTTCAGAGCATGCTGATGGCAAAACACTGCATGAGTCAAATATATTGCTCTGTATGAAAACATTCATTCTGTATTCTATCAGGGATTTTGATCCTACAAATAAATGATCCCTGCCTATAAATAACAGATAAACGTTAATAGTGGATTATAGGCATAAAGGATAACAGTGGTTTGCTACAGCAAGAATTCCTTAAATATATAGCTAGCTATTTATGGGACTCTAAGGTTTCTGAATCTTTAAACCTGTTAGCTTCTCTGCAAAATGCAGTGGTCCTCAATAAATAGCTGCAGCTACGATTATTATTGTTATGATTTTATTTGAGAAATAATGGCAATTCGTTCTCAAAGCGCTTTTACATTCATCATTTATTCATCCAACAAATATTCCTAGAAGGTCTACCAAGTGCCAGGCACTGTGCCAGGCATTGTGGAAGCTGGTGAGCAAAGGAAACCAGGTCGGAGCTCACTGGGTTTAGAGTCGTTGGGAGGCAGTTCGCTATGCAGTAATACCCCAACTGTACCGAGGACCACCCTGAGACTTGCAGAATCAGGGACGCTGACGTCATTTACAGGTCATACCCAGGAGCAGGAGCTTCACTTAATTTTATCACCCTGGCATCGCAGAACAAACCCCCTGGGCAGGTGTCATCACCTGCAATTTCACAGATAAGGACTCTCAGCCTGGCTGGAACCCCTGGCTCCGGCCGCGGCCGCCGCTGGGTGACCCGAGCCGGGCCTCTCTCCGAGTAGGGAAGGAGGATATGCTGAGCCAGCGCGACTACGAGTCGGCCTCCCTGCAGGAGGTGCGGGCGTTGCTGCGGCGCCACGAGGCCTTTGAGAGCGACCTGGCAGCGCATCAGGACCGCGTGGAGCACATCGCCGCGCTGGCCCAGGAGCTCAAGTAGGCGTGGTCCGCTGCTGGGCCCGCCGCTCGGTGACAACTGCCCTACCTGGCTTCGCCCCTCGCCCGCTCTGCTCCCCACTGCCCTCCTCAGTTCAGGAACCCCGCCTTGGTGTCCCATCTTTCCCCATCACCACTTGATCCGACCCTCCTCCCGTAACCCCATCCCTATCGCGGGACCCACACTTTACCGGCGCTCCGCCTGCCCCACCCCCGTGACCTACCCGTTTTCTGACCGTCCCCTTCAACTCCGGGCCCTGGTCAGCTAGCTCAAAATCTCCCCGTCGGCCTTGGCTTCCCCGCCTCCTCCTGTAAACCCGCCCCTTCTCGCACAATCCCACCACCCTCTTCCAAACTTCGCTGGGGACTGAAGCTGTGGGCCCGCGAGCGCCCCCTGCCCAAGGAATGCACTAGAACCTTATCTCCACCTCCCAGGAATGCTCTCCTTCAACCACACCTGCCCTGGCTCCCTAGTGCCTTCACCACCTGGGGCATTTGTTCCAGTCCCAGGAAGGCAGTCAGAAGGAAATCGAGGCTGTGGTCTGACCCCTCCATTATCCCCTTTCTGGTCCCCAGTGAGCTGGACTACCATGAGGCAGCCTCGGTGAATAGCCGCTGCCAGGCCATCTGCGACCAGTGGGACAATCTGGGCACACTGACCCAGAAGAGGAGGGATGCACTAGAAGTGGGTTTGGGGGCCAGGGGGCTGAGGGCTGGAGACTGGAGGCTGGTGAGGGTTGGGCAGGCTGCTGACTCACTATCCCCATGGCCCTTAGCGGATGGAGAAGCTCCTGGAGACCATTGACCAGCTGCAACTGGAGTTTGCCCGTCGGGCAGCGCCCTTCAACAACTGGCTGGATGGTGCCGTGGAGGACCTGCAGGACGTGTGGCTGGTGCACTCAGTGGAGGAAACCCAGGTGGATGCGGGGGTTCCAGTGTGGGGGGCTGGATGGGGTGATAGGGAAGCTGGCCTAGAATCCTGTCAGCCCTTTCTTTGGGTTCCTGGGGACTGAGGACCCGAGGGAAACCCCAGTTCCCAAATGTTAGGCTGGGAGACAGGAGGCCTGCACTGAGCCAGCCCTGCTGTGGACCCACTGGTTGGCCTGTAGCACATTGTTGCCCTTTCTGTTGCCTGTGGGAAGTGAAGGCTGCTGGCTAATGCTGCCCGCCTGTCATTCCCAGAGCCTGCTGACTGCACATGAGCAATTCAAGGCTACGTTGCCAGAGGCTGACCGAGAGCGAGGAGCAATCCTCGGTATCCAGGGTGAGATCCAGAAGATCTGCCAAACGTATGGACTGCGGCCCAGCTCCACCAACCCCTACATCAACCTCACACCACAGGACATCAACACCAAGTGGGACATGGTCAGTGCTGCCTTTGACCTCCCTGCCTCCCCCCAGCCCCCGAAACCTCAGCTGTCCCAAGCTACGGATCTGGGATCTGTCACAGCCTTTGTGGGGCACTGGATAAGCCACCCTGCCTGTCACGGCTCCATCTGTAAATTGGCTGTAACAACATTTTTCTATCAGGCCTGATGTGAAGTAGAATTAAGCCTGGGGTATGGACATCTTTATAAAACAACTGAAATTACAGTTGTATCATAGGCCCCATTTTACAAATGAGGAAACAAGCCTAAAGAGGTCAGGTGACTTGCCCAAGAGCTTGTTCGTCTTGGCTGACAGTAGCAGGGACTACTCTAGGGGTTGGAGCCTGTCTCCCTTCAAAGCTGTCATCTGGTTCAGTGGCCCCAGGCACAAGCACCCTTCTTCCCAGGTCCGAAAGCTGGTGCCCAGCCGTGACCAGACCCTGCAGGAAGAGCTTGCCCGGCAGCAGCTGAATGAGAGGCTCCGGCGACAGTTCGCAGCTCAAGCCAATGCTGTTGGGCCCTGGATCCAGGGGAAGGTGGAGGTACGGCTTGGATGGTGGGGTCAATCTGGGGGAGGGAAGCCAGGGCCGGGCCACAGGGAGCTGGGAGCTCCCATCCTGCCTGGGTCCCCTACAGGAGGTGGGGCGCCTAGCCACAGGGATGGCTGGCTCTCTGGAGGAACAGATGGCTGGACTGCGGCAACAGGAGCAGAACATTATCAACTATAAGAGCAACATTGACCGGCTGGAGGGTGACCACCAGCTGCTGCAGGAGAGCCTAGTGTTTGACAACAAGCACACCGTCTACAGCATGGAGGTGGGACTCACCTGCTTAGAAGGGTGGGAAGATGGCCCTGTCTGGGGAAGCCCAGGGAAGCCATAGCTGGACACATCATGCATGTGCCAGGAGGGCCCCCAGTTTTCAGCTTGGCCAGGTCCCCCAATGCGCCTATGGGGATACTGAGATCCAGCGAGGGAAGGTAACCCATTCAGAGTCACATACTGGTCTAAAGCCAGGCCAGGATTGGTCATGACTGGTTGACAATGCTTAATACAAAATTAAGTCCTCAGTGGAACCTCCAGATAGGGACAAAGCCCCAATAAGGTGGAAGACTTGCCCAGCATCACACAGCAGATTGGGAGTAAAGCTGGAACTAGTGGCCAGGCACTGGCCACGTACTGACTTGGCCTGTTACCTGTCCCCCCAGCACATCCGCGTAGGCTGGGAGCAGTTGCTCACCTCCATCGCCCGTACCATCAATGAAGTGGAGAACCAGGTACTGACCCGAGATGCCAAGGGCCTGAGCCAGGAGCAGCTCAACGAGTTCCGGGCATCCTTCAACCACTTTGACCGGGTCAGCGAGGGCCCAATTCTGTGGGCGGTGGATGTGGGGGCTGGTGGGGCTGGAGGACCAAGTCTGATATGCACTCATGCACTACAGAAGCGGAACGGGATGATGGAGCCTGATGACTTCCGGGCTTGCCTCATCTCCATGGGCTATGATCTGGTGAGTGCCCCCAACGTGCATCACAGGAGTCCCATCAGCATCTCTCTCCTGTATCATGATCACCTACTGTATCTCTCCCACCTTCACGTGCCTTTCATTTCCCCATCACTCCCACTGGGGCTGGGAGAATTACACTTCGCCTCAGGGCTGTCAAAGGCTCAGAGAGGCAAATTAATTTGCTCAAGGACACAGCTAGGATTTGGACTTGGTTGTATGTGACTTGAAAGTCTGAACTTGCAACATGTTTACCCAGAGAAAAACAGCACTACAGAGAACTCCTGAAAAAAAGGTCAGGACCAAAGGGCAACAGGGGCATTGCCAGGGGCAGGAGGCAGATTTCAGTTTAGTAGAAAGAACTTCCCATAAAGCCAGACCTAAGGCTGCGACATAGCCCATGGAGAGAAGAGAGGACTTTGTAACTGGGGTTGTCAAGCCAAGGCTGGACAGAGCCCATGAGGGGACACGAGGAGCCTTCTGGCTTTAGCACCCATATGTGTGGTGCCTGGCCTCTGTCCCTGCAGGGAGAAGTAGAGTTTGCACGAATTATGACCATGGTGGACCCCAACGCAGCCGGCGTCGTGACCTTCCAGGCCTTCATCGACTTCATGACCCGAGAGACAGCTGAGACTGACACAGCTGAGCAAGTTGTGGCCTCCTTCAAGATCCTGGCAGGAGATAAGGTGAGCCCCAGGCGGTGAGGGGGCTAGCGTGCTGGGACAGGGAACAGAAGCTGTGTGTCCTCAATAACCTTCTCTCCCCCAGAACTACATCACTCCTGAAGAGCTGCGGCGGGAGCTCCCTGCTGAGCAGGCCGAGTACTGCATCCGTCGTATGGCACCCTACAAGGGCTCTGGGGCTCCACCTGGAGCCCTGGACTACGTGGCCTTCTCCAGTGCCCTCTATGGGGAGAGTGACCTCTGACCTCAACCCCTAAGACTAAATGATTCGATTCGGAGAGAGGGAACTCCCTCTGGCTGATCCCATCCATCCCTTGGGGCAAGGGCCTCAGAGAACAGCCTGCTACATACCTCTGAATAAAGACCCATCCGTGAGCTTCTCCCCAACTCTTTTTCGTTCCTGAAGCAGAAGCTGGGCCCTCAGGCTCCTGGACAGGACCAGCTGCCCACCCTTGACCCTCCTGAAGTCCCTACCACCCTTATTTGCCTGTAGGTACTGAGCATTCACACCACACTGGAGCCTAGGACACCTCTTTATTGCTGTTAGAAAAAGGTGGTTACAATAGTTTCGCTAGATATGTAAGGAAACACTGTCCCTAGATCCAGGGGTACCAGAAAATTTATAGCATCAGAAAGAGGAAAGCCAGGGAAGGAAGCCAGAGCCTGCTGAAGACAGAGCTGGGTTTAAGACCAGAACATTTTCTTCCCACTTGCTCCTTACTCAAGCCCAAGGTTCTGGCCCCAGCCTCAGTTGCCAGGACATCATCCTTCATCTCAAGAGCCTCCTAGCTACCACAAGTCAACAAAGGTGCAGTTGGGGAGCTTCAGGATAGGAGTGGGGTGGAAGGGGTAGGGGCTTTGCCCTCACCCAGTTCCTTTTGCTCACCCTGAGGTACCCGGTGCCTGGCCCTCAGTCAGCTGTGCCTCCTGGGAAGGGGCCTGGACGTGCAGGCCAGGCTGAGGAAGAGGTGGCTCTGGTCAGCACCAGGTCCTGCGCTGGTGCTCCTTAGTTCACCACTGCCGAGCTGGCCATGGTGTTCACACCACAGGCCCCAGACCCACGATGCAAGTAGTAATAACCCTGGAGGGATGGTAGGTGGGCTGGTGAGGACAGGAGGGCAAGATGTGACTGGAGAGCCAGGGCCAAGGAAACAAGACTCACCTCCTCACCCCAGTCAGTGCCCCAGCTGTTCTTGATGGCCCAGAAGGGTATGCCAGAGCCTGGGAAGCAGTGCGGAGTGCAGGGGGTCAGGGGCCCCCGATTCTCCAATCAGGGCCCCCAGCACTTTGCACTCTCCCAATCTCTGCTGTGGCCTACTGTGACAGGTACTAGAAAAAGAGCAGAAAGCAAGACAGGCCCACCTACGAGCCTCCTGGAGACCTGATGTGGCTCTGGTGTTTAGGGGGGGCACCCAGCCACCTGCCTCTAGCAGATGATTGATCTGTAACAGTTCAACCTTCCACTGCCTCAGCCTTCCAACCCAGAGAGGGGGTGGATAACTCTGGCCTGGCCCACGGCCTGAAGCAGAGGTAAGGACAGGGTTCCCAGGCATTCCTTCAACTTCCCCCTCCAGAGGTCCTGAAATGCTGTGGTCCAACCTCTGTGATCTGAGGATGGGCAGAGAGGGGGTCTGTGGAACTCACGGTTGCCATAGCCCACAAGCAGCACAGCATGGTCGATGAGCCAAGGGCTGCAGAGAGGACGCAGTGGGTGGGAGATCCCATGGCGGTAGAACTGGGGGTGGGGAGAATAAAGAATAAGGGGACACCTCCAAGGTCAAGTAGGAAGGGAGTTGGCAAGAGTTGGGCAGGGGCAGGAGAGCTAAGGCCTTACCTGCATGCCAAAGGCATTGATGGCAACGGAGATGGGGCCCTTCTTGGCCAGCCAGGCTGCCAGCTCTGAGACAGGTGAGGGACAGTGTAAGGGACACCCAGGCCCAGCCCCACCTGGCCTGTCCCCACCATAACCCTTACTCACTCTGCTCATTCTGGCTCAGCTCCACTGAGTCGTTGATGTAGACCCTGGCCTTCTTTGCAGAGAAACTGCAGGCTTGCAAGTGGCCCTGGTAGCTGTAGTCATCCTCAGTCTCCAGCCCACCTAGGGAATGGTGGGTGTGGGATAGGGTAGGGAGAAAAAATCTAGACCCCCGAGTACCCTACACTCATCTTCTCCTGGCCAAGGGCTATACCCAGCCCCTTCTGTGAGGTCTCAAGGTCCCCATCCACCCCAGACCAAGGCCATGCACTCTAAACAACAGCCTCCCTCTAGAGATGACAAAACAGAAACTAAGGGGGCTGAGGGAGTAACCAGTGAGAAATGTGGCCGAGATGGAACTCCACTCTCATTTTCTGATCCTTACTCATCCCAGCACTCCTGGGACTCTTCACTTTGGCTTGCTCGTCCTACTCAGTTCTGCTCCTGATTTGGCCCAGACCCCTGCAGGCTCTCAGTTGCTGTACAGCCACCTCAGTCCCTCATTCTTTCATCCTTGGGCCACTGAAGCCCACTGCTGAACTAAATGGCCAATTTAAGTCAATACCTCCTCTCAAGGGTGAGGTGTGTTGCTACCTGGTTTAGTGGTATTACAAAAATACCAAGACCCTCTGCTATGCACCAAGAGCTTTAGGTATTATCTCCTTACTTAATACTCAAAGCATTCCTAAAGAGCTGATTTGTTCAATGTCTTCATTAAAGATTAGCATTGAGACCTGAACCCAGTTCACGTGACTCCCACCACCCCTTCTGATCCCATGAATGCATACCCAGAGTCATTATGGCTGTGTAGGCATTGGAGGGCAAGCCACCCAGGCAGGCCTTGTCCACCTTGTCACAGTCCAAGAGCTCTAGGAGACAGAAGGCTGGTCCTGAGGAGCCCTCTGGAGGGGCTGGGCTGGGGACAGGGGTGTAGAGTGGGATGCTCACCCTGCTCAGAGAGGGAGAACAGGGTCCCCTCTTTCAGGAACCACTGGCCCTCCACATTGCCGGTGACTGAGAAAGCCCAGCAGGACCCACACATGCCCTGCAAGAGACAGGCAAGATCAGGGCTGGGTACCCTCCCAACCCCAGGGCAGTCCTCATGTCCTGCCATTGCTTCTTAGGGGTCCAACCTGGTCCTTGACTTTGGTGACAGCCCCCTTACTCCTCCAGTCCCATTCAGGTGGTGGGGCATGATCGCTAATGGACTCTGCTAGGCGCATCTTCTTGCCACGGTTCTCTCTTAAGAGTGGATTCAGGTAAATGGTACGGAACTCCTCCTCTGTGGGCAAAAGTAAGCAAGGGATGGAGGCTAAGAGTATAAGGCAGCCCTGATCAGGAGCCTTGGGAGCAGACCCTGACTCTTTCAGGCTCCATGAGGGCTCTGGCCACTACTTCTACCTGTAAGGTCACTGAACTTGGTGATCCCATACTGAGCTGTGCCACGGTCTAGTGCCTGGATCTTCTGTGCTCGTACCATGTTGTTGGAAAAGACGGACATGCGCCACTCGGCTTCTGAGAACCAAGGAGCAGGAGAGGAAAGACTTAGACCCCAGGCAGATCATAAAAGGAGAGGTACTTGGGACTACCAAGCACAGATTTCTCTGGGAAGTAGGTAGGCTCTGGATCAGGCCTAAAGCTCTTTCCAAGGACAGAACTCTGGGGGAGGGCTGGGGGCAGGGGGAGGTCCAGACCTGCAAGTGATGAGTGGGAGGTGGAAATAACTTTTGGGGCCACACCGAAGTGATGATATCCCAGGAGTGAAGGCAAAACCAAAATGGGCTCCAAAGGGCATCCTCAGACAGGGGGTCATGGGAAAAGACTACCAGCAGAGAAGATCTGGCCTTTGCCCCATCCCATTCTATCCAGACTGATGGAGACCCCGTGCTTCCTGACCAAGAAAATCAGATGCGAGAATGGGCCAGGTAACTGTCCAATCCTGCAAGGCTGGGCAAGAACTTGGGGGATTTAAGGGATCCTTGAAAGGATGTACTGCCTCTTGTGTCCTTCCCCTCCCCAGCACCAAGGTACCAAGTGGGGAGAAGGTCCTGATCTGATTGGGACAAGTACAGCCAAAGCTGGATCCTTACCCTCTTTTGTCTCGTAAGTCCGATTATAGGTGGTAACAAACTCCTTGAAGACTGAAGCCATTTTCACTGAAAAATCCTGGAAAGGCACAGGGATCTTTACAAGAAATCCTTCTCACACTGACCAGGAAGCCCAGGCCAGGGTGACGGAAAGGGGGAAATAAAGCAACAACCAGCTAACCAGATGGAGATGGGCTCCTCACCTGGGGCAGGGGGTCCTTGTTCAACAGTGGAAGGACTGAACTCAAAGTCTCATTTCTGTCATCTGAATAGGGTTGGAACAGAGAAGAAATCAAGGCTGAACCCCGAGTGAAGTCTGATCTGAATTATGCCAGTATCCTTGAGCTATCCCAGCACCTGTAACCTTGGTATCCACTGGGCCACAGTCCCGTCTCAGCAGCATGTGTTTTCCTAGCTCATCTAAGACTTCGAAGCTGCAGAGCTGGAAGGAGAGGAGAAAGCCAGTCTGAGGGTTGGGATGGGAGCAAGGCCTTGGCAAGATGGAACTGGAAGATCCTTGTGTGAAGATCACTTCCAGAGCAATCACCCCCACGAGTGCAGAATGGGGCAAAACCAGCACTCTGTCACCCCCGCTCTTAAAGCATTTTAATTTCTGGCCCTAAGGGCCTGGGAAGTGACTCAGGGTGAGGTAGTTGCTGCCTCCTCTTGACCCAGACTTATCATGAGGGCAGGGAATCACAGGAGCCCCATCACTTACCAGGGTTTTCTTGGACACAGGGAGCTGGCACACCGTGGGGTCGTTGCAGGGAGGCTCCTCTAGGGTCGCCTTCAGGGAGAACAGCGACCCGTGGCCCGCCTGAATGAAGGGGCGGGTGAGGCAGGCACATCTACTCCCCCGACCCCCGCAGCCCATCCTTTCCACAGCCCCGCCGCAACCCCCTTCCCTCTCCCCATCACCAGAAGTTCGTCTCTCGGGCGTCCAACGCCCTCACCCCTGGTCCAGGCCAAAATTCCCGACCTTTGGACCAGCCACCCCCTCCCCTCCGCCCCGCCTCACGCACGCCCCGTGAAGCCCCACCCCTGGCGCGTTCTCACCCGGCGGACGCGGCCGCGCACCGCCCCCAGCGCCGCCCGCCTCCCGGCAGCCCGGCCGCGGTTGTACATCTCCAGGGCGAAGCGGGCGGGCCCCAGCAGCTCCGGGTACGCCGCCTCCCGGGCCTGCGCGTCAGCTGCTTGGCGGGGGGGGGCGGGAGCGGCGCCCAGGAGCAGCCCCAGCAGCGACAGCAGCAGCAGCCAAGGTGCCATGGCGAGGGCGAAGCCGGAGTCCCGACCAACCGACTGGGCCGAGCAGCCCGCG